TGATTCCTTTTCTTCTTTTTGTTCCTGGTTAGGTACCAATTTTTCCCTGATGAAGAAATGATTGATGGTGATGGTGGGTTTGGCATAAAGCCATGTGGGGCACCTAATCTCGCACCCTCTGATTGATTCTAAAATGGGCACAAATACATTGCAGAAAAGATCAATCAATAGACATATTGTTCTAAGGTAATGTGAGAGAATATCTCATGCTACCAATAATAAAGGGCTACTTTGAGTCCTTTCCCAAGGGAAGCTGCCATTTGCACATGGCCTCCAGCCTCTACACCATGTTTTATGGGGTATTGAATTATTACCCTTTAATTGCACAAACATTAGTGTCTTCTTACACATTGGATGCTATATTTTATATCTGTAATAATTGCTAAGAGCCAGATAGGTTGCATGTGCAAACTTAGAAACAGGCTGCAATTATGTTTTGGTGAGGATAGCATTTGGTAGGCAAAGACAATGATTGTTGAGAGCTTGAGGCTGTCACTTTTGCAAAGAAACATTTTCCCCATCAGATCCACCATCTCTCCCTCTCTCTCTCACACAGATAGAAAGTTCCAAGTTGTTGTCTATCCTTTTACATTTTTTTCCTTCTCTCAACCTTGTAACATGGGGGAGATTCTCCTGTACCGAATAAACCCTGATGAGGTGAACATTTTGCATTATAATATATACATTATGCCCTAGTAACATAAACAAGATACTAAAAGTTGATCCCTTCTTGATTCAGCAATGTTGCATGAAGAACCAGCTTTAGAATGGCAAAGTGGGTTGTAACTTAAACTGCTCATATGCCATATCCTGACTTTTTGAAGAAGAAGAAAAATCAGTCATCTGGGTGATGATTAACTCAGAAAAATGAAATTGATGATAATGCAATAATATTCATTTTCTGTTCTATTGAACATTAAACAGTGAAAGTCTTGAGTAATATATTGAAATGCTCACCTTAACTACGTTAGTCATGATGAGCAATCTAGCTCAGAACATAAAGTAGAATCTTTAAATATACCATCTTTCAGATTAACAGAAGATAAAAGTACAGATTCAGTTTCAGTTAAATGTCCACAAGAATGGAATAACAAAGAATAAATCATCATTACTTACAAGGTTATTGCCTAGTTGGGTTGACCATGAGATCAATCGAATATATAATTAACAGCCAAAGAATAATCACCTACTATCACTGAAAACACATTCTTCCCATGTTTTAGTGTCTGGTGGATTTCCAATAAGTCCAAACCTTTACAGTCATTAAGTGCAGATAATTAGCTGGTTCAGATCCCAAGGACCCACGTAAACATATTAAACTAATACTCATTATTCATTAATTATGACAAGCTAGCTAATTAACTTCTTCCTCTCTCATATAACACCATCTTCCCACCCTCTTTCTCTGTTCCATGGAGCCAGAAATGTCACACAACTAGAAGGAAACAAATTCAAAAGAACAACAAAATGCAAACCCTTTTGCTGTTCTTCTGCTGTTGGATTGCTCTCTCTCTTGTTCTTGTTGAGGGAGTTCAAAGTGTACAGTATGATGAATTGTCAGCTTTGTTATTGATCAAATCTAGCCTGATTGATCCGTCAAATCAACTTGAGGGTTGGAAAATGCCTAGCAATGCAGCTGACAATCAGTCACCCCATTGTAACTGGACTGGAGTCGGGTGCAACTCCAAAGGGTTTGTAGAGAAGCTTGACCTTTCCAACTTGAATCTCAGTGGCATTGTATCAGATCATATTCAAGATTTACGAAGTCTTTCTTTTGTCAACATTTCTTGTAATGGGTTTGATTCTTCATTGCCAAAAACCTTAGAAACTCTCATCTCATTGAAGACCATTGATTTAAGTCAGAACAACTTCAATGGCAGCTTCCCCAGTGGTCTTGGAATGGCCTCAGGATTGACTGCTGTCAACGCATCAAGCAACAACTTCTCAGGCTATCTTCCTGAAGATCTTGGCAATGCAACATCACTCGAAAGCTTAGATTTTCGAGGGAGCTTCTTCGTAGGCTCAATTCCTAGTTCTTTCAAGAATCTGCAGAAACTGAAGTTTCTTGGCCTTTCTGGTAATAATCTGACTGGAAGGATTCCAAGAGAGATAGGCCAACTTGCTTCTCTAGAGACTATCATCCTTGGATACAATGAGTTCGAAGGTGAAATCCCAGCAGAGATTGGAAACCTTACCAATCTTCAGTATCTTGACTTGGCAGTCGGCAGCCTCAGTGGTCAGATTCCTGCTGAATTGGGGAGGCTAAAGAAAGTTACAACAGTTTACCTGTACAAAAACAATTTCACGGGAAAGATTCCACCAGAACTTGGCAATGCTACGTCGCTAGTGTTCCTGGATCTTTCGGATAATCAGATTTCAGGACAGATCCCGATGGAGGTAGCAGAACTGAAGAATTTGCAGCTCTTGAATTTGATGCGCAATAAACTGAAGGGTACAATTCCTACCCAGCTTGGTGAGTTAACCAAATTGGAGGTGCTTGAGCTGTGGCAGAATTTTCTGACAGGTCCTTTGCCTGAGAATCTTGGACAGAACTCACCCTTGCAATGGTTAGATGCATCATCAAATTCGTTGTCAGGTGAGATTCCACCAGGTTTGTGTCATTCTGGCAATCTCACTAAACTCATCCTCTTCAACAATTCCTTCTCTGGCCCAATCCCTGTAAGTCTCTCAACCTGCAAGTCATTAGTCCGTGTTCGCATACAAAATAATCTTATTTCTGGGACAATTCCAGTTGGTCTTGGAAGTCTTCCAATACTTCAAAGGCTGGAATTGGCTAACAACAATCTAAATGGCCAAATACCAGATGACATTGCTTTGTCTACATCACTCTCTTTTATTGATGTCTCTGGAAACCACCTTGAATCATCTCTCCCATATAGTATTCTGTCCATTCCTAACCTTCAAATATTCATGGCCTCTAACAACAACTTGGAAGGCCAAATCCCAAACCAGTTCCAAGATTGCCCATCACTTTCACTTCTTGACCTTTCAAGCAACCATTTCTCTGGAAAAATCCCAGAGAGCATTGCTTCATGTGAAAAGCTGGTGAATCTAAACCTGCAAAACAATCAACTAACTGGGGAGATCCCAAAAGCAATCTCAACAATGCCCACATTGTCCGTTCTTGACCTGTCCAACAATTCTCTTGTTGGTCGGATCCCAGAGAACTTCGGGAACTCACCAGCCTTAGAAATGGTAAATTTATCATTCAATAAGCTTGAGGGTTTAGTTCCTTCCAATGGAATGTTGTCGACAATAAATCCTAATGATCTTATTGGCAATGCTGGTCTTTGTGGTGGCATACTTCCACCTTGCTCTACTACTTCCCCTGCATCAAAGCGACGAGAGAATCCACGTATCAAGCATGTCATTTTGGGATTCATTGTCGGAATCTCAATCATCTCATCTCTAGGAACCGCATTTTTCACTGGGAGATGGCTGTATAAAAGATGGTATTTGTACAACAGTTTTTTTTATGATTGGTTTAACAAGAGCAACAAGGAATGGCCTTGGACATTAGTAGCATTCCAGCGAATCAATTTCACCAGTAGTGATATACTAGCTTCCATTAAGGAATCAAATATCATCGGCATGGGAGGGACTGGCATTGTTTACAAGGCTGAGGCTCACCGGCCACATGCAACTGTGGCAGTAAAGAAGCTTTGGAGAGCAGAACCAGACATCGAAAACGGTGATGATCTATTCCGAGAAGTGAGTCTGTTAGGAAGGCTCCGACATAGAAACATTGTGCGGCTATTAGGGTATCTTCATAATGAAACTGATGTAATGATTGTTTACGAGTACATGCATAATGGAAACCTCGGAACAGCTTTACATGGTAAAGAAGCTGGAAATTTGTTGGTGGACTGGGTCTCACGCTACAACATTGCAGTTGGAGTTGCACAGGGGCTGAACTACCTCCACCAAGATTGTCACCCACCAGTCCTCCACCGTGATATCAAGTCCAACAATATACTGCTTGACGCAAACCTAGAGGCAAGGATAGCAGATTTCGGTTTGGCAAGGATGATGAGTCATAAGAATGAGACAGTGTCAATGGTAGCTGGATCTTACGGATATATTGCACCTGGTACGTTGCTTGTCTGTTCTTCAGATAAATTGCACTTAATCACCACAAATTATTTCATTAAAGTAGTTTAACATGCATTCATCCATTCACATGCTACTTCGTAACCAAACAAGGGCTGCAAGATCAAGAGTAAGAAAAACTCTCAGATTGCATATTGATAATCTGACTGCTACTGATTTTTTTTAATTTTTTTTCCTCGTGACAGAATATGGATATACTCTTAAGGTTGATGAGAAGAGTGACATATATAGTTTTGGGGTTGTGCTTTTGGAGCTTCTGACTGGAAAAATGCCGCTAGACCCTGCATTTGGAGAATCGATTGATATTGTTGAATGGGTTCGAAGAAAGATCAGAAACAATAGAGCATTAGAAGAAGCACTAGACCACAGCATAGCAGGACAATGCAAACATGTGCAGGAAGAGATGCTTCTTGTTCTCCGCATTGCGATTCTCTGCACCGCAAAACTACCTAAGGACAGACCATCTATGAGGGATGTCATATCAATGCTTGGAGAGGCAAAGCCTCGAAGGAAAAGCATTTGTCACAATGGGGTACAAAATCCTAGCAAAGAGAGGCCAATCTTTAGCAACTCGCCAGTAATAGGCCTCCTGTAGAACGAACTTCCTAAGGCTGCTGTTCATGCGCAAATGCAACTCTTTCTTTTTACGTAAATCTTTTTGCCTTCACAACTAAATTTGCTCCATGAGTTTAGTTGCAGATATAATCTAAATGAATGTCCATACTTTCTTTTAGTCTTCACGGAATATAATAAGCAGATATCAAACTGCACTACAAATTGATATGTCCTACTCTGTTACTTTCTTAAGCCTTCAAAAAAGATCCATTCCAGTGTATCATGTAAATCCAAATTAAAATCCCATCATAAGCTTATTCTGCAACCATGTTGTTTGCATCAAAATGTTCTAAACAAGCCTAAATTAAAATTTCAATCACGAAAACTACATGTCCATAAAATTTTTGAAACTCTTCAAGCTCATCCTTTTATTGTAAGGCACTGTGGCTTTTATGCTTGCGATCACTTACAGGAATAAGGGGGTGAGGGCAAGAAAAAAGCAAACCCTTCTAATATGTTGCCCGTTTGTTGCTGAAAAGTCAAATTACAATTCAAAGAAAGAGAGGAGCCAAAAAGTCCTGAACCCTAAAACACTGAGATCACTAACAGTTGAGAAGGAAGAAAAAAAAATTGGGCCTCTTCTCAACCCTAGCCTGCTCCTGTACAACTAATTTCATGATTTTTCAATAGTCAGAAAGACACTGTTAAATGAAGTTATTAATAAGAACAGAAAACTACATTTCATACATGAACGACCAAGCTAACTCATTATAAAAATCGGCATTTCACCTCAGTAGCACAGCCACGTATTCCCTTCATCCTAGATAGATACACCTAAAAGAGCAGGTCCTGCTCCATTGCCCTGATCTAGAAAGCTGCTAGACAATTGCTGAAAAAGTTCATGGATGTAACAGACAGGATCAGTCCATATACACACAAATGAAGGCAGTAAGTTGAAAACACAGACAGTAAGAAAAACCATTTGGTTGCACAAATGAAATGAAAATAACCAATTTTTAAAACAGGTGCAAATCTAGAAGTCTACGAGTCTAACCAATTCCTAAACAAACATGCATGACTTTTCCATTTCATACATGACAATCTTGGACGTGTTCACTTTTAGCGTCAGAATTCCAGATTAGTTCAATCCCAGAATTAATGCGTCTTAATACAGACTGCTGAAACTCAAGCCTTTCTTTCTTTGCTTTTCCAGGGTGATGGGGAATTTCTATGAAATTAAGTCATTTTCCCAGACCATTCCATATCTCAAAGAATTACCTATCTATACCACAATGCAGCTCTAATGTGAAAAAGAAAAAAGATGAGGAAAAGAAAAAACAGAGTTTCTTCTGATCACTGATTTAAGGGATTGGAAGTTTGTTGTTTTTCCTTCCAAGTTTCCAAGCTGCCTAATGTGAGATTATGCCAGAAAAATACCTAGGAATGACCAAGGTAACTGCTAAAGCATAATAATACAGCTCAAAATATTGCCAGGAAAACAGAGAACCTTCGAAGTAAATAATTTAGTCACACATGCTTACAGAAAGCAACATTTGCATCCTCCCTTCCTCTCAAGGGGGTGGTGTGGTGGTGTTTCAAAAACCTACCTCTGTATAACTAGCTTTGGTAAGGGAAAAGGGCTCTTTCTCCCGCATGCCACCATTATCTTCAACCATTCTTTCTAAATCCTGAAAGAAAATGCAGTTTTATCTTAATTAACATCAACAATACAGCAATAAAACAAATAGAATCAGCTTATATATTAAAACGCTCAAGTGAAATCAACAAAACCTACGCTGCATAGCAGTCAAATATAAACAGTTTGTTGAGATAATCCAATTAATTTTTTATCAGAATGGTTTGAAAAGTCAAAATAGAAAATTGGGTAAAAAATTTAACTGACAATTCAAGTTATCATATACTTAAAGATTTTCAACTTCAAATAGTGTTAGTATCCAAAATGGAAGCCTGATATAAATCCTTCAATATTAGCATTCTCTAATTTTTTAAAGCTTCTCAGGAAGTGCAGGATAGAGATTTAAACGGTTGATAATTGGAGACTGAACAAGGAAACAATGCTCTCTACGATAAGTAGAGAAGCTTAAATGGTTTTAGGGTAACAGCTTTTACCTTGCCAGTTAAGATCTCAAATTCAAGCAATTCTTCAGCAATCTTCTCAAGAACTCGTCGATTTTTCTGAAGTATATCCTTTGCTTTAAGATATGCTAAATCGTACAGCTGGAAAATATCAACCCAAACCCAGGACATGAGGTTCACAAAAAAAAAAAAAAATCAAGAAAATAATAAAATATACTAGGAAGTGATGGTGTTGACACTGGTGACACATGGAAGAAAAGAGAGTAAGCATTTACCACAGCAAGCATGACAAACGTACCTTTTCAACTTTAGCTGCCATCTCATACTCATGGCTGTTCCCCATGCTTAAAGATGTAACCTACACCAGTGGCAAAAAAATAAATCCAACAAGGAAATAGTACCGTGGGAACCTTTACTTATAGCAGTACCACACAAACTAGATGCTTCTAAATCAGTCAAGTTTAAAAGGAACACTTTTTTTTTTTTTTTTTTTTTTGCATAGTGAGAAGTAATCATATGAACAAGCAAACATAAAGGCCATGCTGTGGGAGGGCAAGCCTTGTTTGTTTGTGCCTCACATCCCTGAGTGACACATGGCAAACATGCCATGCCAGCAAAACAAGGTTTATACAGGGAATAATTTGAGCAACAACATGATTTTTTGTTCACCAATATATTTATGGTTGTAGAATAGGGAATACCCCTTTGTTACTGTAGTAAATTGCAGGACTGTCATCAGGCCCCCACCCATACTGAATCACCATCCTCGTAGCTATCTGTTGCAATCAGCAGATAGACAATGAGGTATGCATTACTCAGATGGAATTATAAAATCAGTTGATACTATTAACTGATGAATACTGACCTCCTGAGCCTGTTTTAATTCTGAAGAACAGAGAAAATTTTCTTCACCAAATGGAAGTAGTAGTTGGGATGATATATATGAACCAAAACAAAATACAAGCTTTTTTTCAAGGTATGATCTTGATTCTGAATTCCCATTCAAGGAACCTTCGTTTTTGGCCTTGCTAATCTTTGTACATCCAATACCCTGCAAAAAGAGCAGGTGAAATTCTTCGCACCTTCTCTATTCATAAATTCCTGAAAGAGTTTCACAACTGGCATTCATCTGAACCGTACCTAAGCATGGACCAGCTAGGACAATTTTCAGCTTCTTAAGACAATAAATAAATTGAAGGCAGAAGGATAGTCGGGAAAAGAGAACCAGGCAAGCTACCAAGTGATCAAAGACATTGTACAGCCTTATTTTGGGCAAGATGTGTTCTACATTCCATATGATCAAACAATTATTCAATGGACAAATACTTCCCAGTATCCTGCCTGGATTATAGAATCATTTTAATGCTCCTCCAATGCATCCATGGTGCAGCAGAATCAACTCATATGGATAAGGATAGGCTATCTATCAATTGATATTAATTATCAGAGTAACATACACTCAGTTACAAGAAGATATGATATGACTCACCTGCCAAGAACATGGCTCCAGCCATAGATTATCAACCACATCAAAATTGGGTAAAAGAACAGCAATCAGACCACGACCAGCAGCCCAAACAGCATGTGGAAACTTGGTCTCTTTTGTCCACTGCCATGCCCCAAAATCCAATTAGTTTTATTTTTTATGACACAAAAAAGAAACAAAATTTCTATATGGTTGTAAGTATGACCCAAAACGAGGGATACTGACTCATCTCAAGCAAAAATTATAGTAAAATTCACATGTTTTCTTGTTTTCTCAATAAGCAAACGAAGAGCAGAAGGGAATGCTTATCGCTCTTTGCTTCTTTTACAGATACCAAGCTGCCCTCTTCGTGATAATATCAGGCTGTGACATAGCAGGGTAAGAAGCACCCCCTTGTTAATAAAACAGACTGGTTATAATTTGAAAGTTTGAGGTGTTAAAGCATTCACTCAGGAAAGCTTAATCTAGAAAACTGAAAACCCATGTACTGTATCAGGCCACACAAACTTATAAACTGCCAGGGAATGGCGAGGCTTACCCACTACATAAGTCCAAACTTCATTTACTGCAATTGGAAGTGCAACTACTTAAACAGAAACTTAGAAAATTCATCACTGTGTCGTTCTGAAACAAAATGAAATGTCTTACTGTTCATCTAATAGAAATACAAGGTTGAACTATGCTTATAACACAAGTTTTACAGGAAGCTTAATTTATGCAAACATAAAATGCATTCAGAAATTATCAATTCTTTCATAATGTCCTTTGCACAATCAAGCTAGGACATGAAATACGTTACCAAATGCATGTGGAACAGTAAAGGTAAGCAGAGGGCAAAGAAATGGACAACAGGAAAATCACCAGTTACTGAATAGTTTACTTAAAATACATTTAATAGGATTCAGAAAATTTCAGATCAGATGGCAAAAAGCAGAGAAGGTATTTATTGACTAACTTCATGGGCAAGGAAAAGAGTTGCTTATCAAAAACTTGACCTTCAAAAGCCAAAAAAATTACTTACGTCAAGTGGAGGATTCAGAAGTTCTATTCCATTGCTTATTTGACCATATGGCTCCATTAGATCAACCACATTCTGCAAATCCTCTTTACTCAATGTTAGTCCCAGATGATTTACCATCATCCTGCTCATCTTCTTTGCAATTTTGGTTTTCCGAACCCAATCTGGAACCATACCGCTAAAAGTCTATAAAAAGCATCAATACCATGCCTGTATCAGTGACAATCATTCAAAGAAAACCAAGCAAACACCACATTTGCAAATGAAATTAACTAAAAAATCTTACAAGGCAAATTAACTAAATATCAAACTTAGGGAGGGAGGGAGGGTTGGGGGGCGTGGAGAGGAGATGATAATATGTAAAGAGAACCAAATAAAGCATGAATTTGTTCATATTCTGGAGCTATATATGAATTGATAATAAATGGGAGGGAACAAATTAATAATCACTAGTGACAGCACTTTACACACATGCATATACATAAAGATGAAATAGAGGAGATTATTTCCTACCGCAAACCAACTGCAGTAGCTCATGAGTTCATCTGTGTCAAGAAACTTGCTCTTGAAGGCACTACCTTCCAAAGCAACAGGAACAAGTTTTAATTCTACTGGTCGTAAAAGAGTTGTCTTCTCAGCAACCTGAAAAAGGGGAAAGTTGATATATTAAAACAAGCTTAGTAGAATTAAATGAAAGAAGGAAAAGTAAGCACTTGGAAGAGTATAAATTCATCTAACAAACTGGTTTTCAAGAATGAAATTTTCTGTAACCCTAAAGATTAGAATTGATAATTAACAGTGAAGCAAGAGGTCCTAATGCAAACAAAAAAACACATGCTCACGAAGATGGTCCAAACATGAATACCTATCCAAAAGACCCACGGTAGGAAAAACATGTTTACTAGAACAAAGGGGACAAATGATGAGCACTTCAAAGGGCTGCCTAAACGAATTAGTATGCACACCTTCATCAATCCATCACAATAACTGCTTATATGCATTAACAAGCAAGCAAGCACACACATGCAAACAAACAAACACACACACACGAATGACCTTTCTCCAGTCTACAAAATCAATAAGGTCTTCATCCATGGTTTCTTTAGCAGATAAGTATAAAATCTTCTCCCTCTCTGCTTGGGTTGGCTGTTGAAGATAAAATACTCTGTCCATCCGTCCAGGCCGCTGTAAGGCCTCATCAATTTGCTTGATATTTCTAGTTGTAGCCATCAGAACAACGCCATCTTGTTTCTGAAACCTGGAAGAGTACAATACATACTCCGATGTAAGAAAGATAACAATATAAAACTTAGCTATCTTTTTAATGGCCCCCCAAAAAAATAGAATTATCATATTGAAAATGTCAAAGAATAGTCTCCAAGGAAACAGCCTGGCCGTTAAGGCTTGGGATTTCCACTAGGAGATCTCAGGTTTAAACCCTGGGAAGGGTGGGATGAGATTTAAGGATGGGGAGGGCTACTTCCTACTGTGTAGCTCAAGGATCATTGGGCCGCTCTTTGAACCAAAATAAATAAATAATGTCAAGTATCAAGGTCAAAACTGTAATGTGTGTAACGGTAATATGAATATACAAGTATAAAAGCAAAATGCATCAACTATAGGCCATTAACAGGAATGAAAGACCAAAATGTTATAGAATCCTATTGATAAACATTGAGAAGATATATAAAGATGCATCAAGATATTGGTATCCTAACAATGAGATAGGGAATACTAGTATGAAGAGAAACATGAGATGACCATTAACGTAAGTGACAGCAAATACCATATTCTGATGTGTTGATAATAACTAAAGGCCATTACCAATTACAATCTTCTAGAGCCTAATAGAGGCAGTCTAGCCTCCAGCATATTTGCAGTGTGTTTGCAAACTTCAAAGTTTCACCATTAAAACAAGCAGAAATTGGCCAACAGATCTTACTCTTTAATGGAAAGGTTAACAAAGCTAAAGGCCTAAATTGAAGTGAAATTATGCGAGAGAGGCTTAACCCAAGCAAATCAACAATTGAAGAAGCTTTGATGGATCTATTAAAGAAAGAAGAAGAAGCTGGGTGCTCAAGCGGATAGCAAACATTCCGATTCCTCAATTTCAGAAGCAAAACTAAACAGTTTCAAAATAGACATCCTTGCAAAAGAGATTTCCTACACCCACCAGCAATTTCATCTAATTCTCATTAAACTTACTGGAGTTGTTTATCAGTTTCATGGATACCACCAAAAAATGCGAGTCACGGATATCTCTGCATCAACTGCATTGCTTCCAGGAAAAGAAAAGGCCAAAATGACACAGAAAAGAACAGAAGCGAAACACTCACTAAAAAGCATAGATTCAAAATGGCACTTAATGGACAGCTATGATTAAACGGTAATGACATATTTCCTCCCAAGTTTGAGTACTTGGTAGTGAAAATTTCATGTTCAATGAAGTTGCATGAGGACAAAGATAAGACCACACTCCATCCCACCCCTCCCTCACGGCGCCTGACTCCTGAGGCAGGAAAGGAATAAAAAGAGTTGCATATATTCAAAGGCTTCTTGCAGGTTGCCAGCCATTTAAATTTTAGATGCAAGCACATGCTTCCATGACCAGTTGCCTCCTTACACATGTGGACAAAAAGATGCAGCATAGTTGCTAATTAGGCATGCTGAAAGGCATGAGATCACACTCAAAAAATTGGAAATGGAAGAAACAATTGAAATCTGTTGTCAAATGCGATATGGGAAGAGCTTGCTTATGACAAAAGAAAATACTAGTTCAAAGCATGCTGTGGAACTTTTCTCAAATTGAGTGAAAATTACCCATCAAGTTCCACTAGAAGTTGATTAATGAAAGCCTCGTGATCCTGCTTTTTAGTATGTATGAATTTGCCACGGACACCAGCAAAAAGGTCAAAATCCTCCACAAAGATGATTACAGGGGCCTACAAATGATGTTATATAATCAGCAAAACACATTTCTCTGTATTGGTCAAGAACTAAAAATTGGAAATCAAAGAGCTAACACAGGAAAATTCAAGTAAATATAAAGCAAAAACCCAGATTTTGTTTGTTATAAAGTATTACAAAAAAATTGTGATAAAAAATCAAGATTTGCAAGACAAAAGGGAAAGGAGAAAAGTTATTACGGTATTTTGCATCTAAATTTTCTCTTCAAGACTCATGGTAAAGTAGCTCCGGGGTGGGGAACTAATCCTGTGATGGGTGTTGCAATGGCTCTATTTGCAGCATTCCTATCTATTATTTTGGAGATTTATAGTTTATAAATCAGATTTTTTATTTCCTAAAAACATCTATGATTCAGAAAATCACAATCATCCTTTAACAGGCAGACTCAACAAGTAAAAGCTTTTTTTATTCCAAAGATATTAAAGGAGAACTAACTAACATCCCCTACAATTAAAACAAAACTAAGAAAAATTAATAAAGCAGTAAAAGAAATATAATTTGTCACTTTCCAGACATTCATATAATCTTCATGCAAAGGTAGGTAATAATGCCCTAAATTTGGGTAAGCCCAAAGTATAAATTGGAATTGACTGGTCCGATTAAGAGACCATAAAATTTATCTTTGATAGTGAAATCAATATGACAATAGCAAATAATGTAACTTTTAACGATAGTTCAGTTTTGAACCAAGCATTTATTGCATAAATCAACATGCTCTGAGAAATAAAATTGATCTCTGATTCCCTAATTAAATAAAGATTAATCGAAGTGGATAAACAGGAAGGCTTATAGAACAAACCAAATCCCTGGCTGTCTGAAACAGTTCCCTGACATTGGAAGCACTTTGGCCAACCCATAGCCCAGCCTCCAACTGCTGGGCTTCAACTTTTACAACTGGTACCCTAGCTTCTGCAGCAATTGCCAGTGCCAAAGACGTCTTTCCTGTTCCCCTCTCACCTACAATAAGAACTCCCTGCAAGAATGGAGTACCTCACAAGCTGGTATGACTACATTACACATGAACATCTACCTTGCAACACAAATTAGTAATTTGAGATATTTTGTATGTTGAACAGCTTACACGACATGCTGAACAGGCAAACAGGTAAAAGTTGAACATGCAAATGTGCTGATATAGTTATTATGAATGTTCCAAATCTTGTATTCTGGTAAGTAGCTAAGCTGAAAAATTCAAGAATCAGAAAAGGACAGTAATTAAATTTTTGTAGCCATTTCCTGTTGCATTCCTTTTATCAAACTACAGACCTACATCTGATTTTGATTTAACAAATAAATGTTCCAATTACCATGTAATCGCTATCTTGTGCAAAATCAAAACACTTAAAGTCCAGTTTTAATCCAGGATCTTGTTTTCTAGACTCATGACTATCAGTGTCATTCTCTTTTAAACCTATAAGTCATATTTCAGTTTATGTTCAGTTCACTTTTATTTAACTTTACTTTTTTTCCTTTTCCTTTAATCTAGGCATCATTTTCCATATTGCTTGTGTACTTCTGTTTTAGCTTCAATTTACTCGAAATGAAAAAAAGAATAACAGCTTACTTCATCAAAACACTGCTCAAGTGTTGGGCAACAAACAAAAGTAGAAACATATTAATGATGCATAGCTGACCAAAGCATACATGAAACTAAACCACAGAACGTTGGTAATAACTTAAGAAAAACATACCCGAGGTGCACGGGCACCCATTTCTTGAAATGCACTGGGATTTTGTAGAAATGCAACAACTTCATTGATTTCCTCTCTCATAGACTCAACACTAGCAAAATCCTTCAATGGTATAGGAGGATTCTTCACCCTCTACAAAACAAACATGGATATCAAAATCTGTCAGTGAAAATGTTTTCTACAATTAAATAATTTAAAAAAAAAAAATCAGTTAAGTGACAAGTATAAACCTTCATTCCATCAAATGCAGTGCTTATAGGATCAATCCCAGCTTTTTTCTTATTTTTTATTGTCCTCAACTTGTACTTAACATAGTATTTCTGCAAGTTAACATAAAACAGCAATACTATTCAGTCAGCTCTGAACTAGACGTTTTAATCGAGAGCAAATGTGCTATGAAGAAGTTGCATAATATTTCCAAAGGAAAGCCAAAATCAACCAAAAATTTCCATACCATTCCCTTCTTTCAATAGAAGAGAGCCAGGAAAAAGTAATTCACTGATAAAGATAAAACATCCACTGGTATTGACCAAGAGTATAATTAAAATCTTCACAATTAATGTTACTTAATAAACAGAAATTAGAAGATTGCCAGTGCAGATGTTAATTTGTGAACAAAAAAATTTCTAAATAATTGCCAATTTTATGAAGATGGCAAGCGTCAAACCCAATATAAGTTCTTTACAGCCACGACAATAATCATTAACTGAGCGATGGCATTGAAAAGAAATTATAGGTCCCAGGCTTATACAATATTCAGATTGGAAATAAGCACAAAATATTAAAGTTAAAATTACAAGAACCGGAAAAAAAGGGTCTAAGCAATACCACTCTGCGTAACTTCAGCAAATTTGGATCTCTGTCACGTAAAGGTCCAAAACCTAAAAGTCTTGGAACTTTTCTCTTCAGAAACCGGAAGGCATGTAACAAAATATATCCATATATAAACAGTCTAATGGCAAACCAAAGAAACCATTGCATATCATCCGTTTTTCTGGACTTAAAATTTATTTCTGCCTCAGATTGCCATTTCAAGTACCACGTTGAGCCAACAGTTTGATCTATTTCCTCTGGCCATGCCATCCCCAACCGCATCCTTACCTGTGATACGACAGTAACTATAAAACTATTAAGACACTAAGAATACTGGATAAATACAAATAACAGGTGGCAAGTGATGAGTTCATATAATTGATACCGGGAAAGGAATGATGAGTTCCAGCATGGGGAACACAATCATCATCACCACATCATCATTTATATTTTTAATTTTCTCTACAACCCAATCTCTGCCATATGAAACAATTCTACTCTTCCATATGCCATTTAAGCATTGGCAAGCCAGCCTTAACATCAATAGAAACTGTTGACCCAAATCCAATTCCGATAAAGGGATCCACATCAGATGAACACTAGTTGGAATACCACTGGCAAGCATTTTCATGTACAACCCATCAAAACCTCCAAAATCTTCATAGAGAATTTCAAATTCCTGGAATAAAAACAATGAGGTCAAATGTATTTCAAAAGTGGCTCGCAAGGAATAATGGCGTAGAGAATAAACAGAAATAACCTTAATATCAACAAAATATTCCTTGTCATCCCCCTTCAGTGCAATGTACATGACACCCCAGTCATGCCTAATTCGAGCATGCTCCACTAATTTCTTGGAGACAGCATATGGAACTGCTATTGGTTCCATTTCCCACCTGTTTTTTTCTTCGTCATACCATGTCTTTGAGACTACTCTATCACGACCCAGAAGAATTTGTTCCTGCAATGACATTTAGTGAATGGTTGATAACATAAACTAACCAAATGAAATGCATCCAATTTAACATAAAAGCAACAATCTAGAACATTAATCCAGAATAAGTGACAAAGTGAAAATATAAAAAAGTAGGTAGATATCTACAGAAAACACAGACTATCCAAATGCTGTGTGTGTGTGTGTGTGTGTGTGGGGGGGGGGGGCGGGGGTGGGGGTTGGTTGTGGAGGAGAGAACATTTTATCAGCTAAAATGCTATATTGATAAGGTTCAAGCCTAACACCTACATCAGAACATCCTTTAGATCTTAAAGCATAAGAGAACTAACTGTCAATGACACACATTTGACATAGCGAGAGAAACACGAAACAAGTCAATTTCCTACTCCATACTATCCAAATGAACGCTCTCAACACAAGCAGAAAGTTCTATAGAATAACAAATATCTTTTACTCTCTCAAGTCGCAACCATGTCAGTGACCTATAATATTGTAAGGAGGACAAAAGAGTTAGAGTGTTTTTTAGTAAACTCGTGTGCTTTCTTCAATTATCTTTTAATTGGATGTGCCATATGGTCCATAGCTATCTCCATAAATTGCATACTACTTGGTTGATGATAAGCTACCTGTTTTTGGGCCACATATTCTTTACCAAAATCTGCATCTTCCAACAATTTTCTTTTTAGGTCTGCCTTGGCTTCTTCACGCCATTTCTTCCAGCTATGGTACAGGTGAAGACGAATTGCTTTAGGAACAACAACCTCCTTATCCCCAAAAATCCACTTCAATTCAACTTCTGGAAAGCCCTTCACAACTTCATCTGTTGATGTCTTCACAACCAAACGATTTTCATCACCGAACCTCTTCATCTTTTTCCTTATTCGAGCCTCCACATCTTTCTGCAGCTTCTGTGAATCTTTAAGGGCTTGTTTTATGCGTACAGCAAAATCAATCGAATCTTGATCAAATAATAGCCCAAGGCCTTCAACATCTACAACATTAGGCAGAATCGTTTGTTCTAATAATTTTCTTTGTGCAGTTTCCAGTTCTTTCTGAATTTCAGATCTTGGAAGCTTGGTAATAGAGCTCTTTTGCTGACTGCAAGCAAGTTAACATTGCTCAAAGAAGTAATTAACTTTATAAACTTTTTATGGACAGAGAATTTTGCAAACAAGTGATTCGAAACGCATGGAAGCAAACACAAGCCCCAGAATGTAAAAGAGGAATGAAAAAGAGAGGGGGAATCTAGGTGCACTCTGGCATTAATTTGTGAATTGAAATATATATATTTCCAGCTTTAAAATAACACAACCAAGATAACGTGTGATAAGGGATGCAGCATAACATCCAAGAAGAGAGGTTAAACAATGCTCAATCAACAGAGTTCATGCACTGAGATTAATCCTGTTTCTTCTGGCCAGCCACCAACGTGATTGCTGAATAAAAATTACCAAATCATAATATTCAAGTCAACTTAATTCATAAAAATCATGAACAAGACATCAAATCCCATTTTATTATTCTTTCCAAAATCCATATGCCCCTAGTGTATCAAAGTGCATAATGCATCCATGTATGCTTTATAACATCTTCCTAATCAAATTAAAGATTGCATTCTTTTTCATCTAACTTCCCTCTAAACCAGTCGGTAGCAATATAAGCTTTCACTATTTAGTAGTTAAGCTACATGTTGGTTGGTAGAGTTTATGTCTTATGATTACTACAGCCTCATTCTAGTGACCATACCTGCAGCATACCTAAAGAAAACCATAACTTAAAGCAAACAAAATGGAACACTAAAACAGAGAACTGAACACTACCATTATTCAATTCATGTAGCAGATTAATATGACACTAATTCTTGCTGTATAGATTCTTCCTAGAATAAGGTCGGTTTTAATAATAGCAAAACTCAAAATGCATCTACTTATACTGCTACCTGTCTGTAATCTTTTGCCGCATTTCCTGGTTAAACCTCTTCACCAATTCCTCACATTCTCTCTCAATAAAGCAAAGTTCCCTAACCCCAACACTCAATGCCATTGTCTCCCTCCTCAAAATCTCATCCCCTATCTCTCCAATTTTCTCCCACACGCCAGTGTACTCCTCATCCATCACTCTCATTCTCCCCTCCAATTCTTCCATTCTCTCTTTCTCACCCTTTTCCCTCAAACTATCATACTCTTTCCTCACCTTTTCCACCGCTTCCACAATCTCCTCTGAGCGATTCTCCATCTTCCCTCTTGTCTTCCTCAACTGCCTCACTTCCAAATACATCCCCTCCATTATCTCCCTTTGCAACTCCTCTTTCCTTGCTTTTACTGCCTTTAAGACCAACTTCACTTCCTCTACACTGTCATTTCCTTTCCTAACCTCCTCTATACACTTCAACAACCTCGAAACCTCCTCCAACAAACATTTAGTATAATTTGAAAACTCATGCTCTTGCAAGTTTGATTCTTTATTCAATTTTTTTTCTTTCTTTTTAACTGCAACTTCACTAGCCGCCGCAACAGCAGCCACAGCACGAGGTGGCAATGCACCAATTGGATAAAACCCAATTGCAATACAAAACAATGCATACACTATGGGCCTTGTAATGCATTGAATTACACTTTTTTCAGGTTTTGGGAAAAACCCATTTGAGAGAACTAGTTCTTTTTCTTGTTTTAAGCTTCTAGGTGCATCCAATTGCAGGTTTTGACTGCTCTTGGAGCACTTTGAAGCTCCTTGAAACCCAAAAACACGTAAACTATGGACAAAACGGACAGCTTTGTGTCTATTTCTGTGTAATTTTGTAGTTTTGATTCTGTATTTGATTGGTGAAGAAGGGTCTTTATGTAATGGAGATAAATGAGAGAGAGATGGAGAGAGAAAGGAAGCCATGAGAATTAAGAGAGGAGTGTAATTGAAAAGACAAGAAAGAGACTGTGGGTCATTTTGCAATTTGGTAGAGAGTTGGCATCAAGATTTCCTTTTGGCAGGGTTTTAGTAGAGGAGGAGGCCTGCAAACAAGAAGCAAGACTGATGGAGAGAGAAGAAGAGGCTGAAGATGAGTCCGGTTCATTGGCTTCCGGTTTTCATTTTAAAAGGAAGGGTAAAACAGTAAATCGGACTGTTTCCCTGAGATTTCTTTCTTATGGACTTATTCTCATCGGTGTAATCATATTTGTCACCCGTTTCATTGTCTGAACCTGGACTAACTAGTTTTTTTTTTTTTTTTTCCCTATACAACGAAAGGTGTTTTTTTGAATTAATTTGTATGTAAATCGAAATTAAATTTTTTCTTCAACGATTATAAAACATACTCTTCACATCAGCTTAATATATTGAGAGAAATTTAATGAATTCTCCGTAAGTATATATATATATAAACTCTTGTGACTCTTGTGGAATAATTTTGTGGTATTTGTTAATTCTAATTTTATAAACCTTTAAAATGTTGTCAAGAATTAAATATTTATTTTTCACTTTCAAATAATCTTCTTCCATCAATCAATAATTTATCTATCAATCCATATATATATCTATATATTCATAACCATAACTATATATAAAAATATGTTGAAACATTTGATTCCACAAAACTATTCTTAAATTTTAAGAACTATGAAAGTGTATTTCAAGGACTTTTATTGATAAATATTGTATATATTGTCTTACCTTAAAAAAATCTACATGCCAAATTTTTTTAGGAAAAATATATATTTTTTGTATAATATATATAATAAATAGACTAAGCATTAACGTAATTCCTCAAAAATAGATGGCTTAATATTCTAGAAAATTACAAACTATACATGTTTTAATAATGATTTTACCTCGTTCTTTAAAATTTATATAGAAAGGTCACCGACTAAGGTTCTAATAACAAGCACTAGAACCGATTTGATTTTTTAACCAAAATTTAGGACAACGCCGACAAGATAAATGACGAAGGGTGACAGCTAGAATTAATGTGTCACGTAGGATCCACGTAAACACCGACGTGGCCTATTAAAAAAATCATTCAACCTAATTTTAAAAATATCCCTAAACTAGATTAAAAAAAACCCTAGCCCGATTAAAAAAAAAAACATAACAAAACTCTTACTTCTTCTTCTTCTTCTCGTAGCCACTACCCAACTAAAATTCCACAAATTCTAAACAATCAAAATTTCATGAAATTTTGTTGTTGATTATAGATGTGATTATAGGTCACCTTTATTAAACAAGTCCATCTTTCACATGATCTTGGACTAAGCAAGTGAGCACACTCGTTTCTACAAAAAATGACACTCGGAAAGAACAAAGTCATAGTTGTTGATTCTAGATGCGATTTCTAGTCACCTTTATTGGATTGTGACTTATGTGGTGCGATTGTCAAAATATTAGATTTCTTGGCTATTCCTCGACCTACTCGTTTTGCTCCCAACAACATTGATATTGCTTATACAAACAAAAAAATGGCATTGACATGTGGAGCAAGTGCAACTAATGGAATTAGTGGTTGTGTTACCGTTGACGATATTGAAAAATAGTAAACCGAAGATCGTGATGAAGTTGCAACCACAAACAAGTGAAAATTGTTGTTGAACATAGAAGTTGATTTAATTCTTACAATGGTCGGGGGTCTATCTTTTACTCAACAAGGGCAAGATAACAATGCTCGAAAAACATTCTTGATGCAAACATGAAAATGGACTTAATGGTTTGTCAACTCGTTGGAAGCGAGGTCGGTGATCATGTAGTTTCATATTAATCACGCAAACCAAGTTCTTGTAAGCGAAGATTGGAGATAGGTGATAGTTTACATGATAGGCCACATTTGATGATACAACCAGTCGATAGTATAGAGGGAATTGTCATCGATCAAGATGGTGATTAAGTCACGGACGAGCAACAATTTTTAACAAGGCCTTCAAAACATACTCGTGATTCGCATTTTTTATATACATACCAAATAGATTCACTCGGTATCGGTCCTAGCCATTCAACAAGCCTTGAAGTCTATGCTAATGGAAATAGAGTTACTTCATTTCGTTAAAAAGAAGAAGAAGAGAGATGATTCTGAAATTTTGTTTGTTTAGAATTTATGGAATTTTGGTTGGTTGGTGGCTAAGGATGAGAAGAAGAAGAAGGAAAGAGAAGATTTTTGTTATGGTTTTTTTAATTGGATTAGGGTTTTTAGAATTGGGTTTAGGGGTTTTTTTTTTAATTAGGTTAAGTGATTTTTTTAATAGGGCACGTCGACACTTACATGGATCCTATGTGACACATTAAGTCCAAATTGTCATGCTTAGTCACTTGTCATGTCGGCGTTGTTCAAAATTTTGATCAAAAAATTAAATCCGTACTAGTGTTATTATTGGAGGCTTAGTTAGTGATATTCTATACAAGTTGTAAAAAACGAGCTAAAATTATTAAAACATATATGGTTTGTGATTTTTCGAACATCAAGCCAAAATAGATTAACCTCATTTTTCTATGTATCTCGTTTGTACATCACATAAAACCTTAATATAATATAAAAGGAGTTTTTAAATCATCGCTAACTTATATAATGCCTTCTTAAATCACCACTAACTCATATAGAACTTTATCGACACCTTATTTTGACTATCAAAACTCTATATTTATATAAGTCAATAAAAGTTAATAATTAAAATATGAAAAATAATTAAATTACATCAAATTTATTAATTAAATAGTTGATATTTGGTTTCATCTAAAAAAATAAAAAATTTAAGCATTTTAGTGAGTGGTCATTTCTCAAGTATATGTTATTGATTTATTGTTTATTTATTTGATATACGATATGTTTTCTAATACTCGTCTCACTATAATCTATTTTTTCGTGTCGGTCAAGTAGCTTGAGTTCGAAAATATTTACTAAATTGTTAGATCTCATTGATGTTCTAATATCATAATAAATTAGATAGTTAAGATCGAATTTTCTCTAAAAAACTTAAGCTTTTTGTTGGATGGTTAAATTTGATAGTCGAGAATGAGTTTTATTCATAAAACTTGAATGTTCTCTAATACTTTCTCTTACTTATAGCCTATTTTTTTAGATCTTGTCAAAAGGTATGGGTTTCAATATTTTTATTAAATTGTTGGACCTCCGATACCAAATTAAGTTAGATTGTTGATATTGGATTTTATAAAAAAAAAAAATTATGCTTTTTGTTGGATAGTCTTTTCTCAACTTCATAATTTACTCATCTATTGTTGATTTATTGAATATGAGATGTATTTTCTAACAAAAATTTAACATGTTATTGAATTAGATCCTCGGGCCATCTTAATGGGAGAAGAACATGATGCAAGGTAAGAAAATTTATTTTTAAAAATTAGATTGATCTTGAGATCTAGAGAATTGAAGGTTCTTATATTTATCCCCGAACGGTTTAAGGGCAACAACAATACATGTTGAAATTATTTTTTTTTCCATCATTTAATTTTGAATTGCATTGCATAATTGATGAGGATGATGTAATCTTTCTCGTTGAGTAATTAAATGATGCCAAGATAAAATTCAAGCAACTTTTAAAATGCAAGCGAAGTGCGAAGTAAATTCTTCAATGAGATTTTGAGTTTTTGAAAACGGAAAATCAAATTCTTGTTTTGTGAGAGCAGGAAAAAAATTTCATCTAAACCAAAGTATTGTAGCTAGTGTTTAAACTAATTTAGAAAAATCCTTTGATAAGTTTTGGAAAAATTATGTGCTATAAGAATTTTCAAGAACAAAGGTATTGTACCATGCATTTTATAATCTTGATAAGAAAACGTTGAGAGGTAAAACTTTGTGAAAATTATCTTTTTAGTGAACACATGTTGATTCCAATGAGTTAAAATCTTTACAATTCTATATTTGGATAAATCGATTTTATCTTAATTATTTTTGTCGTGAGTATGGGTGACTTCGTTGAATCGATAACTATTAAAAAGAATTCATAATATCGTGTAGTTGTTGTTAGGATTTCTAAAAGGTAATGGAAATCAACAAGAAATTTGATTTACATATTTTTTTTAAGAGTAGGTTTAAGATACCATGTATAGTAATTGGTAGGATGTGGTTTTATGACATATTGATAAACATAATTATTGATATTAGGTGAATTATGATATTGTTCAGTATTTGACGGTAAGGTTGAATGATTTTATTGTGAAATGATTTGAACAACTCTTTAAAAGTTTTATGGTCTTGAAGACGATGTTTTGAGGGCTAAGGGGTCTTGGAATTTGGTCTAACAATTAAAACTTACTATTCAATGAAAAAAAAATATATCTTGAACTTTTATATGCGTTGTTGAACTTGAACTTTCACAACGTATAAAATTTATGTTTTAGAGACGAGTGTGTTAGGAAACGAATCAAACATGAAAATAGAATAAAAAGACAAGAACAATCGCACAAAAAAAAATTTACGCGATTAGTAATTGTGTCTACTTCGTGGTTATGTTAGAATTTCTTATTAGAGTTTTATCAAGTGACGACTTGCAAATATAAGAGATATTATCTTTATTTATAATTTGGACAACTAAAGTTATAAGAAAAAAGAAGAAGAAGGTCTAATGGGCTTATAAAACTGACCTAATATTTTGTAAACCTTAATAGAGTGACGTAATGTCCTAAACTACGAGCTTCATCCATATCGGTCTTCCTAGGTTGGTGGCTAATAAAAGTGTATATTGTTGGCTCTTGTTACCATTGGTCGTTGCGTTCTTTGTCAATGTCTTCTCTTCTCTTCTTTTTGTTTTTCAAAAAACCATAAAGAAGTTTACTTCCCTTTTTACTTGTTCAATTTCAAATTCATAAAAAGAAATTATTGCTTGTTATTTGGTAAAAATTTGTTTTGAAATAAGATTTTTAACATCATTTTGAAGAATTTCTTTTGAAGTTTTCTAGTCAATACCAATTAAAACTATTTTATTGACTAAATCATCTTGAAACTTTGTAACACATAAAACAATGGCTAAAATTTCTTTTTCAATAGGGGTCGAATACACCTCGCGCCCCCGCATTACACAAAACATATTGTTGCAACCACTCTAAAAAAAAAATAATAATAATTATAACATACCTTATATTATTAGACATTTGTATAAAATAGCACTGTTCGTTAACTTTTTCCACCGGATTAATTAATTTTTGTTAGTTGACTAATGTCTAACCAATCATGTGACTACACGGGTCAACTTAAGAATTAAAATATGATTTTATTTTAAAATTAGTTTTTTTTTTATTTTTAAAATTTAAAATAATTAATACTTATTATAAAATAATTAAACATTGAAAAACAAATCGTAAAGAAAAATTTTCAAATAATCAGATTTTTTTAATTTCTAATGAATTTATAATATGATTTTATAATGATTATAACAAAGAAAATTAGAAAAAAAAACTCTAATGAAAATTTTAATGATTTTATAATAATTAATAATAAAGAAAATTAAAAAAATCTAAAGAAAACTTTTTTCCTAAAAATTGAAAAACTAATAATCAAAATTTTTTATTAAAATAATTAATTATTATTATAAAATTAGTTTGAAAATCTAAAGAAAAGTTTTTCAAAAAAAAAACTGAAAGAATTAATAATCAAAATTTTGTATTAAAATAATAATTATCGTTATAAAATTATTAAAAATTTCTTTATATATTTTTAAAATTTTTTATTTATTAAAAATTATTTTAAATATTAAAATTTGAAAAAAAATATTGATCAATAACAAAAAAATCGAAAAAAATTATTTACACATTTTAAAAAAATTTATTTAATATAAATTATTATAAAATCATCAAAAAGTGAATTTTTTCAATTGTTTACAAAAATTATATATATATATGTATTTTTTTATTTTTAATAATTTTGTAATAATTATTAATTATTTGAATTAAAAAAATTGATTTTAAAAAAATTTATTTTTACCTTTAAGTTGAGATGCATCACAACTTTACCGGTCAAACGTTAATCAACTAATAGAAATTAATTAATTTGATGAAAAAATTAACGGAGGGATTGTTTTGTACCAATATATAATAGTATAAAGTTTTCTATGAACTATATTTGAATAAAAAGATTGCAATAATATTTTCAAGCTATATCCTAGAATGACATCTAATGAATTGCTCATTTGATTCCCATTTTTGTTTAATATGCACCCCGTATTGTTTCTACAGCGGAAATGCTTGACAATTCTAAATATAGACACGAGAGAGTTTTGACATGCTTTTTAATGTTTTGAACTATAATTATATGTTTTTGAGACAAGGCAAAGGGATTTATTTTTTCGAGGCTTTTACATAAAGGGCCATATATTTGTCATAAATTTTTGAAAGAGTTTGCTATATAGTTCAAGCATCCCAAGAACCTTTCCAATTGATTCTTGTGTTTTAATTCATTTGGGAATTTATCAACAAATTGTACTTTAAAATCTGTCCTTATTTATCACATTCATTTGAGAATATATCAAATTCTTGCCTTTTTAATGTTTTGAACTATAATTATATGTTTTTGAGACAAGGCAAAGGGATTTATTTTTTCGAGGCTTTTATATAAAGAGCCATATATTTGTCATAAATTTTTGGAAAAAAGTTTGCTATATAGTTCAAGCATCCTAAGAATCTTTCCAATTGATTCTTGTGTTTTAATTCGTTTTGGAATTTATCAACAAATTGTAGTTTAAAATCTATCCTTATTTATCACATTCATTTGAGAATATATCAAATTCTTGCCTTTTATGAAATCATAATTTAATTTTTTTTATAGGTTAACGGCACTGATTAATTGTTATCTAATGAGTCGAGTTTTCAATTTATTTTTATATTCTAAAACAAGCCAATAATGTTCATGTTATTTAAACAAAATTTTAATCTATCATTTTAGTTAGATTTTTCGGCTGAAGTACATGAAAATATCACATGATTTTTTTTTTTATGCCCCTCTTAGTTTAGTATGTTACATTTTTAATATCTATTTATATAATAGATCGAGTTTTTAATATGTCATTAGTATTAAAAAGTCTATTATATTAGTGTTAATAATTTTTCTAATAATGTATTGCATTATGATGAATTTTTTATTAGTTAAAAATATATAAAATAATTAGTATGTGTTAGTATGTAAGTGTTAAAGTAATTAAAATTTAGCATATTTTTTATGTTAAAAAGTACATTATATTATCGTAGTTAAAATAATTTATTTGTGTATAATATGAAAGAAATCGATACAATATTTTACCAATAAATCAAATCTCATTATACAAAAAAAGTGAGTCATGGGCGAAAATGAATAAATGATATAAATATCATCAATTAAATTAAAAAAACTACATAATTATAATTTAAATTAGTGTTAATTAGTCATGAGTGGATTAGTTTCAACATATTTTTCTCGCATGTGAGTATATTAAATAATATGAATAAACTAAAAATTATGATCGGTAGATTTTCTATACAAAGATTGATAAAATGAGTGATTTATAAGTGTCTATTTATACTAATTTTTTTTACTCAAGAACATATATATTTTGTGTTCTATTTTGTCCAAGAATTTTAATTTTACCTTTTGATGGACAGAGTTGTATATGTTTTAGCCTTTTATACATGAAACTTGGGTCTTATGTTTGATCAAGGACTGGTCTCCACGTCTCAATTTTTATGAATTTGATATTAAATTGGTAAAAATGTGACTATTCTGTAACTTGATTTTAATTGGAGACTATTTTGTAACATCATAAAAGTAACACCAAAATTCAAAATTATAAAAACCCTACTCAAACACTTAATTAATTTAAAAAACCCCGCAAATTCTCTCTCCAAATTCCCAGAATATCAAGAACCACATTCGATTCTTCGAGCCCTAATTCTCTCAAGTAAATCACTAACCTGCAAAAATTTTCTCTTTGATTTTTTGTTTGTTCATCGATTTTGATATCAGTTTCGAATTTAAAAATGCATGCTTTTTATTGTAAAAAAGACCATTACTGGGTTTTGTAGCAAAACATAAAGGTTGAAATTTTGAAGCAATAATCGGCATTTTTAAGCATGATTCCCTTCTGGGTTTTGTTTTGTTGGAGTTGCTTTGCTGTTTCTGTTTCTGGGTTTTCTCGACTTATTCATAAAGCTAAATCCTTTTTTTTTTTTTTTTTTTCTTTTTCTTTTTTAGGTATTACTATTTCTGGTGGGGCTATATTAAAAGCCAATGTGAGTAAAAATGGAGGACAAACATGAGGAAGTTGAGGACATTGAGAGTGCTTTAAGTGATTCATTTATTGATGATGATTCTGATAATGATGATAATGTGCCATCTACATCCGGACAAGATGATGGAACCCGTGTTCAGGTTTCTTTTCTTTGCTTTGTTGTGTTCTTATTACTGTTAAGTGTTATATATCACTGTTGTTCCTATGTAGTTTTAGAGTATACTATTTGTTTATATGAATGTTGCTATTTTTGGATACTGGTATTATAGCCTTGAACCCAGAAGTTTAAACTTGTGAAGAAAGAGCCCCGTGGCTGCGGATTGTCTAATGATAAACATTGAATTAGTGAATACTCCATCTAGTGGAAGCTTAAATAAACATGCTTTATTGAAAGCAAAATGAAGAAAAACAAATGGGTTTAGGTTAACAAAAGTCACAATAATAGTTTACCATGGTAGGTCATGCTACCATGTTAAAGTAATAGTCGTAGTATGTCCGCTAGATAAGGTCATTTTAAACTCTGTGAAAGCTTAAAACTTCTAAAACACTAGATAAGGATATTTTACTTTCTTTGTGCAGGAAACTTTGACCGACCAAGAAGTAGAGGAGTTGGTTGCTGAGTTCCTGGAAGTTGAGAGTAAGGTATCATAATTTCTTGGTTAACTTTTACGTTGTGCTCTTTTATTTTTCTACTTTATTTTAGAAGGTTCACTAAAGCTTACTTTAGGCTGCAGAGGCGCAAGAAGCACTGGAAAAGGAGTCTGTTGCAAAAGTAGAGAGTGATGTGAGAGAGGAGTTGGCACAAAGTCTTCAGGGTGATGATGTTAGCTCCTTGTGCTGCTTTTTATCTGTTTCTGGAGTTTTCATTATATCAACTTTGCCCATCATTTATGCATTTCTTTCTTGTTTATGTCTCTAGCTGGAGGCAGCTGTCGAAGATGAGATGGCTACTTTCAGGGAAGAGTGGGAAAGTGTGCTCGATGAGCTCGAGACTGAGAGTTATCATTTGTTGGTCTGCTTCTTTCTTCAATTTGAGTAAAATCTATTGTTCTTAAGGCATTTTTTCAGTGCATGTATCTTGAGACATCAACCAGGCAGGTCTGAATCTGTTGCTTGGTGATGAGATGGGATGTGAAGACAGATATGGTTTTAAGAACAGTACATTCAGGGTTGTAGGGTATGCAAATGAGTTATCATTGCAAATTTAACAAGTTGCTCTGTTTTAGGAGTGTAGGATGAAGGAGGAGGAGGACAAAAGATGTTAAAAAAAGGATGAAGAAACTAAGCACAGATCATAAAGCAGCTTTCAAATGTCTTTAAACACACTTGAATTTTCAAATCCGCTGTTTTAGGAGGGTCACATAGACATGAAGACTACTCAACCCCTGTGCACCCTGCATCTTAAAGCAGCGTAGAAGCATCTCTAGGGTTACAATTTTGGGAAGTAGATGGTTAAAGTACTTGACCAAAAGACTAAGTAAAGGATAAAAAAAAAAAAATCCCAAATATAGGCCTTATTAGGATATAATTAAGGCCTATTCCAAGAAAACAGATTTAAACCCTTGGCTTTTAAAATGGGTATTCCTTATTAAGCAAACCAGATGCAGCATCACATATTGTTTTCTGATGGAGTTGGATTGACTGAATTATTTGCAGTCGATTTTGCAAAGGAAAGTGAAGTGGTGCTAGAATCTAAAGGTTCCTTTAATATGTGGATTCTGGAGTCTGGATGCTTGGAATTGTTTTGAATGGAGTGGGGTTTGGTTGTTGATTGCCTTCCTTTTTGAAGGATTCCAGTTGTAGAAGAGCTACCAGATCATAATCATTAGATCTAAATGATCCATTAATCCATGAAGTGTGCTCAGTTCTTCCGAATTCAGATATTAATGGAAACACTAGATTTTGAATTGTTAGGGGAACATAATGATTATTGTATTCTGATTTAATATCAATATGTGGTGAACCTAACTGTTCAGGTAACATATGGTTGCTAGCATAAACTGAGCCATTTTCTTTCTCTTCTTTTTTTTTTTTTTTTTTTGTTGTGTGTGAAGTGAAGTTTTCTGCTCATCTTTGAACACTACCTGTAGGAAATGAAGCTGTAATGCTATATTTTCCTTTTGCATGCTGCTAATTCACATGCTTTGCCTAACAGGAACAACTTGATGGGACTGGTATTGAGCTGCCAAGCCTTTATAAGTGGATTGAAAGCCAGGCTCCAAATGGTTGCTGCACTGAAGCTTGGAAAAGAAGGGCACACTGGGTGGGATCTCAGGTGACCAAAGAAACTACCGATTCAGTAGCCGATGCTGAGAAATATCTTCAAACCCATAGGCCTGTTAGAAGGTAAGGTTTTGATTTTTTGGCATAGTGAATTGTGCAAGCTTTGAAGTCCATTTAAATGATATACTTCCTGGGCTCAGACGACATGGTAAATTATTGGAGGAAGGTGCAAGTGGATTTCTGCAGAAAACACTTCCAGTGGATGGAAGCAAGGCAATTGCAGAAAATGCAGATGTAGACTGGGCCTCCTTGACGAAACTATTCTCAACTAGCAGTTCTGAGGATGCTGCTTCGTTTGGTAGCAAGCATTGGGCTTCTGTTTACCTGGCCAACACTCCCCAGGAAGCTGCACTTTTGGGACTTAAATTTCCCGGAGTCGATGAGGTGACATATTTAGTTTGAGTGTGTAATTTGCTACCGAATGACATTTCTGGTTTGTGCCTTCTGTCTTAAGCATTTTTCAACCATTCAGCAGCTTGATTCTGTATCATTTGAATTAAAATTGATTCGCAATATTACTGGTTGACAAGTGCTAAATGTTTTCATCCAATTTTGACTGATCTGATCTATTGGTTCATTATGTTTTTGTCTAGATGCAGATTTGCCACACTTAGTATAAACCATCTTTACTTTTAGGATTTGTCTTTTTATTTTATGGGCCTATCTTTTCCAATTCCATTTTTCTGCTTTTATAATTCAAAAAGAAGCATTCTGAACATTGAATTAAGTTTGAAGAAGCATATCTGCTCATCGCACTCACTCACTAGGAATAGAGTAGCAATAGACTCTGGCTCTTTAAGTTTCTAATTGATTGATAAAACTTGACAGTCAGGATTGGCTGGACTTTTGTTTTGTGGTCTTGCTCTCTCTGCTACAGTTGGCCTTCTTTTGTCCATCATGCTAAAGTTCAAACTCGACAATGTTCTCTTTGATAGAAACTTAATGGTTTTGATAGTTAACTTATTTCAGGTCGAGGAGATTGAAGACATTGATGGGAATTCCACTGATCCATTTGTTGCACAGGCCATAGCAAATGAAAAGGAACTAGTTCTTTCAGAGGAACAAAGAAAGAATTATAGGAAGGTTGGTCAATGTTTTTGTATTGAATTTTATGATTTTTGTTTCCTGAAGTTTCCAGATTAAGATACTGGACATTGAACTGCTTGTTTTAGTTTCTCTGGATTCTTATCCGTGCTTGTATAATAGGCAAGTTCATTAGAATAACTAGTACATCCATTAAATAACTTACATTTTAAAGCCATTGATAATCAGATAGGTCAAAATGCTGCTGTCTCCAAACTATTGTTACAGAATCATATAAATCATATTTTAAGGCCTCACCTAATAGCTTAAGCTTTTGGGTTGAGATGGTCCTTTGACATGGTATCAAAGCCTTGTTGATCAAGTGGTCACGAGTTCAAATCTCATCACTTCCATTTCTCTTCTAATTAATTAAGCACAAGGTAGTGTGGGCTTGTGCAAGTTTCAAGCCCAAAGGGCTTTCACTTGAAGGGGTGTCTTAGAGAATCATATAAATCATATCTTGAGGCCTCACCTAATAGCTTAAGCTTTTGGGTTGAGATGGTCCTTTGACAACTATGTGCACTTTGATGAGGCGATCTCAGGGTTTGTGGATGGTAAAAAAAATTCCCATTAATTGTCATCCCCATTGGTGGCTAAGCTGCAGTGTCACTACTGGTGCTTTAGGATTTTTTGAATTTTTTGTGTTGGTGATTGGGATTTTTTGTTTTTTAATAATGTTTGGAACTATGTGAATGTAATCTTTGTTTTGCTCAATCCAGAAAATCCAAACCTTCATGGTATCTTGGGACTATCGTTGGATGATTTTCTTCTTTGTGATGTCATGCTTCAGTTGCTTTCAAGGGAGTGTTTTTAGCTGAGGTTCATTGGGTTGGGCTGACCTTCTATGATATTCTTTTTGCTTTCATGTTTTGGAGGATGACTTTTGTCCAACATGCTTTAGCAATTCTTTTCAGTTTGTCAATATAATTTGCTTTTATCTAAAAAGGTATTGGTGGTTCATCATGCAAATTTGAGTATGTAGATTATAGTGATTGTCAAGCTTCGTTGATGGTATGTTTGGATGATATTTAAATTGCATGGTTCTTGTATTTGTACATTGAAAGGTCAAAGAGGAAGATGATGCAAAAATTGATCAGAAGCTTCAACTTCGTTTAAAACAAAGGAGGCATCGTAATAGATGTAAACAGGTGAGATTTTCCGCTCTCAGTTTTCTTGTTTGATTTGTTTGTCATTTCCATGTTATCTAAGCCATGGATTCTATCTTTTGGTGTTGAATGATGGTATTCTTGATGTGACCTCAGAATTATGGAAGGCTATCAAACTTTGGTTGTTCTAAATTTGAAATTTTCCATATCAAACTAGGTCTTGGGAATAGAATTGATTGCATATGCCGATGCTACCGTGCTTTTAAAGTTCAATGTTTCTAATCAAACTATTATAGCTTGAATTAGATGTGGAAATTTAACTGGTTGTGTAATGTATGCTTAAGCTATTATGTCTTCAATAGTCCAACTGTTTTTTTGTGGGGATGCTACAGAGCATATACTCACAAAGCAATCCTTCTTCACAGTTATTAGCGGAAAACTATATGCTCTCTTGAAATTGACTATTCATGTTCCTTTTCCTTGCACTCTTATTGAATTAGGGCCAGGAAATGGGAAGGAACTTGGATGAATCACTGCCTCTGGATGACAATTCCAATGAGGTCATACGCCAAGATCTGAAGAAAGACATGTGTGAAAATTCTGAATTTTTGGTAGACCTCGAGATGGAACAGTCAATGGGTAAGAGCAATTCAGTCTTCTCAGAATCTGACGTCACTGAAACCAGAAGGTCCAAGCGTCCAAACGAGAGTGAGGACCTAAGCATTAATAGTAAGAAGATTCGGACTGTTATCATAGACAGTGACGATGAAGCAGACGGTTTGGAAGATAAGTCAGTACACAGCAATAAAGTTGAAGATCAATCAACTTTGCAAGAAAACACTGGGGACCCTACTGCTGATTGCAATCCTTCGCAGGGTTCAAATGAGAAGTTTCAGTGCACTGCCTGTGATAAAGTCACTGTTGAAGTGCACTCACATCCACTTCTAAAAGTAATTGTTTGCAAAGACTGTAAATTCTTAATGGAGGAAAAGATGCATGTGAAGGTATGAATGTTAATAATGCCTATGCATTTAACCAAGTTGCTTCAAATAGGTTATAAAATGCTTAAGTATCATATTTTCTTCATAGATATGCATGTAAGCATTTACGGGGATTAACTAGGTGGTTTTCTGGTCAATCATCACCATAATTTTAATGAGTGGATCAACTTACAATAATTCCCTTATTACTTACACAATGTACTTGGAAAGATTCTTTCTTTTACTTGTTTTTGATGATGTGATATGTAGATAAAATATAGCAGATTTTCCGTCAGAAAACAATTTAAGCTATTGATTCTAACCTTATGGAATTACTGGTGTAACTGTTAACCTTTGCTCCTTTAATATCATTTGCCAGTAGATAATGAAAGCTCAAGATATGCAATGAACATTTACCTCCACTTTTACACGCCATGGAAGTCTGATGATTATGAGACTGCTGGTTCTTGCAATTGGCTATGAATAGCCTAGTATTTGTCTCCATTTTAGCACGCTTAACAAAAACAACAACAAATTAGAATTTTGATTGCTTGGAGTCTGAATAAATTTCATCATGCAGAATGTTACAACTAACTAACTAGGATCATATTGATTTTGCAAAACGTGAAAGATTACTAGCACATCATTGTTGCTTTTGTTGTTTTTAATGCCTTTTATCCTATTAAGTTCCACAAAATTCCGTTCCTGAGCTGAATTTGTTGCAGGATCCTGACTGTTCAGTGTGTTACTGTGGATGGTGTGGGCGAAACAGTGACTTGGTGAGTTGTAAGTCATGCAGATTATTATTCTGCACTGCTTGTATAAAAAGAAACATCGGTGAAGAGTACTTGTTGAAGGTTCCAGCTTCTGGATGGCTATGTTGTTGTTGCTCTCCAAGTCTGCTACAAAGATTTACATTACAGTTAGAAAAAGCCATGGGTTCTGGAGATACGATGGTTATGAGCTCTGATAGTGATTCAGAGTCTTCAGATACAGATGGTGGTGTTACAATCAGGTATAGTATTGTTCTTTAAGAGACATATCTTTTTCTGTAGTAGTCTGAATTATTAACTAAATTCTCTCACCCTTTTAATTTGGTATTTTTTTTTTTTTTTCTTGTATCTTATTCTATCCAAAAAAAATTTATGGGATTGTACCCCTGGTATAATTCTCAAATTACGTTATTTTGTAGCAGCTCTAAGAGAAAGAAGAAAAAGAAGATTAGAAGGATCATTGATGATGCTGAATTAGGAGAAGAGACCAAGAGAAAAATTGCTATTGAAAAGGTGCTCTGTGTTTCGAATGATTGATTTGGTCAAATCTGGGATCTCATTACTGATTATGCATTGTGGGACGATCTTATGTAGGAACGTCAAGAACGCTTGAAATCCCTGAAAGTGCAGTTTTCTGACAAGTCCAAGATGATGAATTCTGCAAGCTGCAGTGGAAACTTACCTGAAGGTGCTAGTGTTGAAGTGCTTGGTGACACCACAACAGGTTATATTGTGAATGTCGTGAGGGAAAAAGGTGAAGAAGCTGTGAGGATTCTTCCAAGCATATCGTCTAAATTGAAAACCCATCAGGTTTCATTCTATCCTTGTGCAGTTTTCCATACTTCACTCTTAGTTGTCTCATTTGTTGGTTGCATCATTTTTTTTTTCTTGTATCCAAACTGTAACGACATTGCTTGAAAACTTAGCTGACTACCCTTTTTGGGTTCTAAGCCCACCACCTTACTCGAAATTAATAATTGGTTTCCAACTTGCTTTCTTATTATTCTAGTGATTAAGCCATTCAGCACATTTGACACCAGCAGGTGTTAAATAGGGCATTTAAAGTGTAGGAAGTGAGGACCTGGATGGGGTTCCATTTGTATGTGCTTCCTTATCAATCGTTACAGCTCTCCACTGACTTTTTGTTCTTATTTCTGTTTTATTATAAATGTATTTGTATATTGCTTACCAAGTTGATTTCACATTGCAGGTGACAGGGATAAGATTTCTGTGGGAAAATATTATACAGTCAATTGGAAAAGTGAAGTCTGGGGATAAAGGTCTTGGTTGCATTTTAGCACATACAATGGGCCTTGGTAAAACTTTTCAGGTATTCTGTTCAGGTTCTCTTTTGAACATTCTGATTCCTATGGTTAATATATGAGGGCATAAAGTGATTGGTGTTAGGAATGTTTGCAACTAAATCTGGTAAGTTTTAATTGGTAAGTTATTGCCAATTCATTTCAACCTTCTAGGTAATTTATATGCTTTACTCCCGATGCCTGCAATTAAATGATAACTCCATCTATTATAAATTATAGCATGGTGAACAATCAGTTTAATGGTTGTGGTTTTAGTGGCGTTGCTAATAATAGTAGGGCCCTTTATTGCTGACTGCCATGCCATAAGTTCATTGTGCACCACAGCGTCATACTCGTTTAATTTGATTGAATAGTAAGTTTGCTTGATTTAACGAATGGCACCTACAGGTCATAGCTTTTCTGTACACTGCCATGAGAGGTGTTGATCTGGGTTTAAGAACAGTGCTCATCGTGACTCCTGTGAATGTGCTGCATAACTGGCGCAAGGAGTTCATGAAGTGGACGCCTTCAGAAGTGAAACCTCTCCGTGTTTTCATGCTGGAGGATGTGTCGAGGTTTTATTATATACCTTTTCCCTTTCCCTCTTTTGATTGTATTGCAAAATAAATTGTCAAATTGATTTTACTAATGAAGTCTCAAGTGCATTGTTTTTTAATATTTGTTCTTAACTAAGCTAAAGGGTAACTCCTTTTATATGAATTATCAATGATAATGGCAGTTTGGAATTTGTCCTTGGGAAGAATGTGTCGAGGTTTTATTATGTACCTTTTCCCTTTCTCTCTTTTGATTGTTTGGCAAAAGAAATTGTCAAATTGATTTTGCTCGTGACGTCTCAAGTGCAATATTTTCTGAATATTTGTTCTTAACTAAAATAAAGTGTAATTCCTTTTATATGATTTGTCAATGATAATGGCAGTTTGAAATTTATTTATTATCAATGAAATAATAGCAGAAATATGACTTTTAGGTATTTTAATTGAACAACAAGGTTATTTGATTTTGTAAAATGAATCCATGATTTACCTTTCTTCCAATCTGTATAGCGTCTACCGAATGATCAGGCGATGTCATGTATGCTTTACCTCTGTTCCAATCTGTGAGCTGAGTACTTTACTTTTTACTCTTGTCTTTTAAGGTATAACCCATCGAGATCCATTTTATTTTCTTGGAGTTTGAGTGCAATTGGGGAAAAAGATTTGGTGGACCATTCATTAGAAAAGATGGAAAAAAAAAAAAAAAACAGAAAGGCTGGCATTTAATTGGTCTAGGTCTGGCTCTTGTGAACTTTTGATAGCTTAGTTATCCGACAAAATATCCTGAATATTTTACTTAAAAATAGGTTCAGTCAACACTGTGCATTATATCCAGTATAAGATTAGATAATGAGTATCTCTGTCTTTCTTTCTGTGGGAACTTCCATTCTGAGCTTTTTAATTCACTGTTGGGTTTGCTGGCATAAGGGAGAGAAGAGCAGAATTGCTTGCAAAGTGGAGAGCTAAAGGCGGTGTTTTCTTGATTGGCTACTCTGCCTTTCGGAACTTATCCCTTGGAAAGAATGTGAAGGAACGAAACATGGCTAGAGAAGTTTGTAATGCCTTGCAGGTATTTTCATCTTAACCATTCAACTCAGTCTGTGCTTTGAATCACTCAAGAGTCAAGACTGATTATGGATCTTGACATGGGTCCTAAAACATTGAATTGATGAAATTTACTTTTTTAATGTCAGGATGGACCGGATATACTTGTTTGTGATGAAGCCCACATGATAAAAAACACCAGGGCTGATACAACCCAAGCACTGAAACTTGTGAAATGCCAGAGAAGGATAGCATTAACTGGATCACCCCTTCAGAACAATCTAATGGAGTATTATTGTGTAAGTTGGTTGAGAATTGAGATGATTAAAAACATCAGATTTTTCTATTCATTGGTACGTTTCTTATAGGATTTATATATCTGAAACAGATGGTTGATTTTGTAAGAGAAGGTTTTCTTGGCAGCAGCCATGAGTTTCGGAACCGGTAAGACTGACATTTTTCTGGCTGTTTTCTCCTTTTTACTAGTTCCAGTACATCTTAATTGGGTTTCTTATGCGTGCAGCTTCCAAAATCCTATAGAAAATGGACAGCATACTAATTCAACGGTTGATGATGTAAAGATTATGAACCAAAGATCTCATATTCTCTATGAACAATTGAAAGGGTTTGTTCAAAGAATGGACATGAGTGTGGCAAAGAAAGACTTGCCTCCTAAAACTGTATTTGTAGTGGCTGTAAAGCTCTCTCCATTACAGAGGAAATTGTACAAGAGATTCCTTGACGTGCATGGGTTCACAAATGGCATTCTCTCAAATGAAAAGATGAAGACGAGCTTTTTTGCTGGTTATCAGGCATTGGCTCAGGTTTGTTATTGCTTATTATGTCTGTCGCGCTTGTAGTAAGCTCTTCCTTTATGATAGATGGGCATGCTCTTACACATAATGATATCATGTCTTTTATGCTTCTTTTACCCATTATGAAATATGCACACAGAGAAAAGTGAAACGTGACCATGTGCATGCAACGCTCATTAATACAACTTAAAAGCAATAACCTTGTGTGGAAGTCTGTAAAAGTGATTTGGTTTATTTGGACATTTCATTGCTAAAATTTTGGAAGTTATATGTCTGTTATTTCATAGTATTCTTTCATGCAGTCAAAACCAAATTACAAAGGTTTTTCTCCCCATTCATTTCTGTTGAAGAATATTATTGAAGTTGGCATAGTAAATAGTTTTATCATTGCGAAAAAAAACCTAGAAAACCTAGAGTTGAAATAACTTTTCTTCATTTTTAATATGAAAACTTGTGTCAACAACTAGGAAAAAATAATGATCAACTTATGGTGGGTAGAAGCATTGTTACCAAATTATTGGGGTGTTTGGGTTGTGGTATGGGGTTTGGGAATGTAATGCATGCATATGTGACTTTGTGATATGTAGGGCGTAGGTCGTATGCTAATTCGTGGTTAGTAGCATGTAATTAGTTGTTATATTTTGACCAATTACCTTATTAAATCTATCTCGTCTTTGAAAAATAATCTTCCTTAACCTTTTTCATTTTTTGGAATGATTCGGGCCTTTAAAATTTGGATAATAATCAGACAAGTAAAAAATTATGAGAGTAATGATACGAAAAAAAGGATTAATATCACTTCCTAGGGAAGGATTAGGATTTTAGCCCATATTTCCCTTCCCCTTCAATTCTCTTTCTTCTGATGTATAAAATTCAAAACAACTTCTTATCTTCTCAAAGGGACTCTAGCCCGATGTTTAGAAAAAAGATTAATACTTCATCCCCTATTGCTTTCTCTCGTCTTTTCAACGAATCTGAACAAATTTGAGAAAAAAGGAGAGAAAGCAGAACAAGGATTGTATTTTCTTTTTCTTTTTCTAAACATCGGGTTAGAATCCCTTTTAGGAGAAAATGAGTTGTTTTGAATTTTGTATGTTAAAAGACAAAGTATTGAAGGGGAAGGGGAACGGGAAGAGATAGTGGGATCGCAGATTGGGTAAAACATGGCTAGAAACCTAATCATTCCTTGGGCCCAACAATATTAAATCCTTTTCTTTTTGGCACCCGTTACTTCTATATTTATTTACTTGTTACTTGTCTACTAATTTTCCATTTTTAATAAAGGTCTGAATCATTTCGAAAAAGAAAAAAGAAGAATAATCTATTGTTTTTAGGGGAAAAAAAGAACTAATTAAGGAAGAGTTTTCTTAGGACAGGTAATTGGTCAAAATATAACAACTAATTGCATACTATTAACCACGAATTAGCATACTTACTACCCCCATGTAACACAAATGCACATATGTGCATATTACATTCCCGAACCTTGTACCACGACCCAAACATCCCTCAAATCTGTTAACATTGAAGATCTTAACTCACTGCACGTTGTGCACCCTTTACATATGTTAGTTGTTTTATTTTCTGCAAAAATATACTAAGATTGAGGTTAGTTTCTTATATGTAAGATTTTGCTATTAAAAAGCGGGTCACCAAATCTTACATTCCAAATCACTTACCACCACCATCCAGTATGTGAATGTACTGTCATCTGGACCGTGCATTCTGAAGCAATAAATGTGAGCTGTTTCGTGAATCTGGTAGCACTGGGTGGAAGATTGCAGTGAGCATCTACAAAACTACAGGATGCATTTTTTGTATTTGCTATATTTTCATGGTTATTAATGCAACAGAGTTTGTGGAAGGTTTAAGTGAGTAGGATTCATGGTGATAGGAATAATGTTGTATTTTTTGTTGTTGCGGGATCATTTTGATTTCTGAAAGATTTCACGAAAATTGGGTCTTTTACTTGAAAAAAATTATCATCTAATGATTCCTGGAGCAAAATATATGTATCTGGATAATTATAATCGGGCACCTTGTGTCATTGTCTTTGTTTGTAGCTTCAATTTTCTGTGGCCTCTATTTTAGATGACTTTGGTAGGTGTTATGTTTTAAGGTTTCTAGCTATTGTTTTTCAATATCAAGTGGAAGAAAATGTCTGAAATGGTTACTACAGAATCCATGAGAGTCCGGGTCATAGAGAATAAGGGAGTTTGTTCAAATTTTTTTAAATGTCTTTGGCTGTTTGCTGAATTTTTTAAGGAATGGAGTGGGTTGCAAACCTTATCAAGATGGAATAATGCCATTATGTTTAATCTAATTCTCAGTCTTATTTTCAATTTAAGATATTGTAGCCACTAGCCAACATTAAAAAGGAAGGCTGAATCAGTCTTTAATGATGCATGTTTAAATTAATTCATCTTTCCGTTTTCTTGTATTAATGAACTTTTAATTTTTCATAGTAGATATGGAACCATCCTGGAATTTTGCAATTGAGGAAAGGTAGAGATTATGTTGGCCGCGAGGACAATGTTGAGAATTTTCTTGCAGATGACTGCTCTAGTGATGAAAATGTAGATCACAATACCATCTTTGGAGGTACTCCATTTCACCATTATATCATATTCCTTGTCGGTACATGCTAGATATCCTGTGGATGTATTGATTGATTGTGGACTTTGTCAAAATGTTCTTGAATGCAGTAAATTTCATCAGTTAATCTTGATGCTCTTTATATATATATATATATATAGATGGAAAGTTAATCTTGGAGTTCATATATGAATGGCTAAAATTTATCATATTTGATGTTTTGGCTTATTGAGTTTGAAGTATTTTTTTCTATATCCTGAAATACTAGTGTTCAAAGCGAGGCAATGCATCCTAAAAATCATTTTAAAATTTTGACATGAAGTGTCATATTTGCTATTAGCCTAAACTATTACAGTGTTTTGAAATGAGGTAATGCACTATAAAATATAATGAGATAATTACAATATAAGTATATCAACTTTCAGCCTTTTCTCAATCAAGTATATAAATTTTAATTTTTTTTGTTTTAGTACATCAACTTTTTTAAAACTGTCAATTAAGTACTTCGTCAATTTTTTTATTAACCGATGACGTATTCGTTATCTTCAAAATACCAAATTATAATTTTGTCATTTTTTCTTAATGGAGTACATTAATTTTAATTTTTTCAGATTGAGTACAACTTTTTAAAAACTATCAATCAAGTACTTTCGTTAATTTTTCCGTTGATTGATGACGTTTCGAATACCGAATTACATTTTTTTTATTCTTTTTCTGTAAAGAACTTTCTCCTTAAATTATTATATCATTTTCAAATTTAACAAAGAATAAAAAATATATTTTTAGTTATAAAATCTCAAACTAAACTTAGTAAGACTTGCTCTTTAAAAAAAACAAAAAAATAGTTAGGTTTTGAGTGTGAAAATTGAAGGAAACATAAACGTGAGATTTTTTATCAAAAAGATTCATTTGTGTTTTTCTTCAATTTTTACTTTTAAACTTAACTAAGTTCTTTTTCTTGACAAGTAACTTAATTGAGTTTAGTTTGGAATCTTAGAGATAAAAAATATTTTTTTAATTATTTGTCAAATAATAAAGCAGTAAAATAAATTGAGGAGAAAGTTTCTTTAAAAAAAAAAGAATAAAATTATAATTTCATATTCGAATATGTCATCAATTAATGAAAAAGGTGATGAAAATACTTGATTGATAGTTTTGAAAAAGTTGATATACTCAAACAGAAAAAAAATCAAAGTTTATGTACTCGATCGAGAAAAATATTAAAATTATAATTTGGTATTTTGAGAGTACTAGACAAGTCATCAGCGAAAAAATTGACAAAAGTACTTAATTGAAAATTTTGAAAAAGTTGATGTACGCAAACGAAAAAAATTAAAATTCATGTACTCGATTGAGAGAAAGTTAGAAGTTGGTATACTTAGTGTAATTATCCCAAAATATAATTTAAATTTTCAATATGCATTGTCTTATTTGCTATATCCTGAAGTATTTCATTGTTCAAAGTGATACATTGCATCATAAAAGATCCATTTAAATTTTTAACATGCAGGGGTCATATTACATATTCAAAAAGCACTTCAACTGTCCATCTTCATCTCATTGTTTTTAAGATTGACCTCATAGGCTGAAGCATACAGAGTTTCTTGACACTAGAAATCACCAACGCGGACATAAATAATGCATTTCAAGAATTGTGGAACCAAACCAGCAACCGCCTATTTGGCATTATATATAATTGTGTATAATCTGACTGCACACAGAAAATATGATATGACATTGGCAGTAGCGATTCTTATTCACCCTGAAATTTCTCTGGTGCCCTATACATGGATGGCTGAGCTGCTGGCACCCTAATGTGGACAATTAGATTGGGAAACTTGTTCCCGGCCATTTTAGGGTGAGATGTGCTGGCTTGATTTACTACTTTGATGTTGGAATGCTACACCATTATTTTGTTATTAAGAGGTAACATTGATGTGGGTGTGGATTGAAATCAATTTTTCATGCTTATTACATTCCTTGAAACTGTGTTCATTTGCCTGAATTGCTGCTTTCATAAGGTTTAGCCAAGAGATACAGAACATGAAAAACTAACTAGCACTTGGGAGATCTAAATGCTTCTGTGCCATTGTTTTCATGTAGTTGCATGGGTATTCTCAAGACTTTGTTCTTCGTACTTTTGTCGACGCTTCATGCTTGTGTTATGAATGCATGGATTTCATTCTTCTCCTCCACCTGGAATCACCTCAGTTCTCCATGTGATGATGTGTGTCTATTATTGATTGCTTTTTGTGGTTGCAGAGAAGTCAAGGAATCCGAATGATTTTGTTCAAGGAAAAAGTGATGACAGATTTTTTCAAAAGGTGTGAGCATAAATGAACACTGACCAATTATTATTCTTTACTCCTCAAGTTTTCTGAAATTACTGAATTCTCACCCTCTTTTTGAGATGTAATACATGTTTTTCTGTCTTTTTTTTCCTTTCCAGGATTGGTGGAATGGTCTTCTGCATGAAAATAATTATAAAGAGCTTGATTACAGCGGTAAAATGGTATTGCTGATCGACATTTTAGTCATGTCTTCCGATGTGGGTGATAAGACATTGGTTTTTAGCCAGAGCATACCCACTTTAGATCTCATAGAGCTTTATCTTTCAAGATTATCTCGACATGGAAAAAAGGGAAAGTGCTGGAGAAAAGGAAAAGACTGGTATAGGTGGGCATATATAACTGCGAACTGTTTTCACTCACTAGTTCTTTTCTTTTTCATGATATAGATTTGAATTTCTTGATATGGACTTGAAATGTCTTCATAATTGCAATAAGAAAAATCATAGTTTGCTTCCTTTCTTCTATCCTCAACAGGCTAGATGGAAGAACAGAGAGCTCTGAAAGGCAAAGGTTGGTTGAGAGATTCAATGATCCTGAGAATAAGCGGGTTAAATGCACTTTGATTTCTACCAGGGCTGGTTCTCTTGGGATTAATCTCTATGCTGCTAACCGGGTGGTTATTGTTGACGGTTCTTGGAATCCAACATATGATCTTCAAGCCATATATCGGGCTTGGCGGTGGGTTCCATCTGTTGTTTTTCATTCAACTGAAACATGTCCTCTTATGTCATGATTGAACCTAACATTTACCATTTTTCAGGTATGGGCAGACTAAGCCGGTTTTTGCTTACAGATTAATGGCACATGGAACCATGGAAGAGAAAATCTATAAGCGTCAGGTTATAGAATAAGAACTTGTAGCATTAAATTGAACTATTTTCTGAAAGAAAATTTAATGAAGAGAATGATTTAATCAGGTGACAAAGGAGGGGCTTGCTGCAAGGGTGGTTGATAGACAACAAGTTTATAGGACTATCTCCAGAGAAGAAATGTTGCATCTTTTTGAATTCGGTGATGATGAGAACTCTGACACACTGAATGACATTGGCCAAGAGTATAGACATGCAGATACCAGGAATATTACTTGCCAAACTGCAAATTCATTGAAACAGAATGTGCCTCATTCTCATGGAAGCTGCACTTCTGATAAGTTGATGGAAAGCTTGCTTGGCAAGCACCGTCAGAGGTATTTTTTTTTTATTATGTATATTTCTTTTAACACACACACACACACACACATAAAACTAATAATTTCTTAGCTTCGTTCCATTTTGGATGCTTACATTCAGCTCTGGCATTTTGAATATGGTTAGGACCCAGGATTATCTGATTGCAAGTATTCATAACTGATTTTTGATGTACAATCTATCATTGTCTGAATTATACTTCCTTTCAGCAATTGGAGTGGATTTTTGAATCACTCAATGCAATAATAACTCTGCCTGCCTGTTGGTACTCATTCATATATTTATTTCACTTAATAAAAGCTTAGTGTCTGATGTGCTTCCTTGTCTTTAGGTGGATTTTTGATTACCATGAACATGAGACTCTTTTGCAAGAGAATGAAGAGGAAAAACTAACAAAGGAGGAGCAAGACATGGCTTGGGAAGTATATAAGAGATCATTAGAATGGGAAGAAGTGCAGCGAGTTTCCCTTGATGATTCCGTGTCGAATGGGACATCTTCTGCCCCAGATGCAAGCAGCTTACCTGTGCCAAGCATGGCCCCTCCTGCACCTGAGACTTCCAATGTAGCACCTTCCAAGAGCCTTTTAAGGAGTCGTGTGGTGCAGCGGAAATGCACTAATCTCTCTCATTTGCTGACCCTTAGAAGTCAGGGTACAAAAACTGGGTGCAGTACTATATGTGGGGAATGTGCTCAGGAGATAAGCTGGGAGGATCTGAACCGGGAGGGTAAGGCAGCTCGGTAAAGACATCATCCTTGTTTTTGTTTATATACATGTTATATCTAGTGTAATTAATTTTTGATTTTAAAGGGAAGCAGCTGTAAGCTCAAATTCATTCGTTCCGGTAGGTAATATTGCCAGGCACATTCTGCCCTATCCTATTCTCGCCTGCGTTTGTTTTTTGAGGGGTCCAGAGATAAGGGGATTTTGGATGATTGTAGATAAATTGGAGGGGAAAAGCCTGTGTAAATCACAGCTCATACGATCCTCTTTTTTATGTAGTTATTGTTATGGAAGCTGTTATATTCAATAAAGTAATTCCACTAATTTATAACAACAATCCTTCCAAAATATGTCAATACATGATCTTATATGTATATATATCTTCTTCCATTGCGTCACTGTATGTTCTTGCGTCCTTTTCAAATGCGCAATTTAGATTACTGTGCTAGGGCCTGGTGGAGTGGAGCAACTATGCACTAATTGCATTTCAGCATTAGGATTAGCTTTTCTTCTTAGTCAGGGTAATTAGCCACTTTGCATAATCGTTTAAATAATGCAATTACAGCAAGTGTTTGGTATGGCTAAATTTTCTGGTTCCCATACGCCTTTCCTTGGGGTATTGACAAATTCTTCTTATGTGGCGGACATTTGCACTTGATATATAATTGGTACATGCGTGCCAATGAGGCATGTCTTAATTATTTATTTATTGAACCACAAGAAAAGAAAAGTTCTCATTTTTTTTAAAATTTTTTTCCCACTTTCCATCCTTTGCCTATTTCCCCTGTTGCTATACACTTGAAAGGGCTTTTGACTTTGGAATTTATTTCTTTTGGGCTTTAAGACATTCTACGCTTTCACAGGCATGCCTCCTGCCAGTTGCTGCAGGATGAGTTATATAATCTTTTTATGTGTTCAACTGTATAAAACAGTCTTATCAATTCGAGTAATAATGATAATAAAATAATTTAAAATAGTATATAAAGGAATTATTTCAAAACTTTTAGATAAATTTACTTTATAGGAATGAAAAATAAAGAGTCTCATATTGAATTTTTATCAAACAATAATACAAAAAACTACCAAACAATGATCACAATAAAATACATTTTGTGCAATACAATTATTTAAAAAGATCTGATAATTAAAATAATAGTGTTATAGTTTCTTGAATTTTAAATTACCATATTTTTCACAATTTGTTTTTTATCTATAGTTTGTTTGTCTTGATATGATCAAATTTGTTAGATATTACTGGATTAAAAAAAAGAAACATTATGTTGAGATAAGCAAAGGATATGAAAAGTTCTGTTTTAGTTTGATGGAACACAAAATGATAGAAATTTTATATATATGCAAAATGATAAAATTTCAATGACCAAAATAAAATAAATATCACAAAAAAGACCAAAAATAGAAAGAAAATTTACACTAAAAGTTAAAAAAAAAAAAAACATAGGAACAGTAAAACAAAAAAAACTCATTATGCGTAAGGTATGAGCAAAAATCACACATAATAAAACTTCAATTATCAAAATAAAATAATGATCACATAATAGGGACCGAAATGAAAAGAAAATATTGGCTAAAAGTGAAAAAAGGGCTTATAATAGTAAAATTTTGGAGATTACATTATCTCAATCTAGAAATAAAAAATTTAATTTAGTCCATTTTTAGGTATTAGGTTTTCTTATACTTTCATATTTATATTTGATATCAAAACTTATAAAATCTTTTCACTTATACTCCTAAATATAACTAATTTCTTCTTCTCCTTCAAAAAAAAAAAAATCACATTATTTATTTGTAAGATAGAAAAAAATTATTTTAATAAATAGACATGTTAATTTACTCCAATAATTATTAAAATCAAATCAAAGAGCCTATTTTTAATAATTCAATAAAATATTTTAAGAAAAATTAAAATACAATAATAAAAATGAGCACAATATGAATAATTTTAAACTTTGAAGAATCAAAATAAAAATTAATGTAAGGACCAAAATGAAAAATTTTGCAGCATACAGGTCAAAAATCGCATGACCAAAACTCCAATGATAAAAATAAAATTAAGATTACAAAATAGGGATCAAAATGAACAAAAAAAAAATTAGAAAAGGCAAAAAGAAAGGCTTAGCTTAAGTAAAACTATATTTAATTTTTGTGCATTTATTAATTTTGGTTTTGAATCTTGGATTCCCTTTGAGCTTTCACCGATAATTTTTAACTATTACAACGTATCAGGTCTCTTGCCGAGGACTGGTATCTTTCTCTTTCATGAGCCAAACTTTGTGGCTGTCTTGTTTGAGCTTTTAGCTTTACGGTGTCTTTGGGTCTTGTTCCCTCCAACATGTTTTTGTTAGTCTTCTTTCCTTTGTTTTTGCACCAAAAAATAAAAAATTTAAAAGCTTTTTAAATAACCTTAAGAATCAAATAATAACCAAAAAAAAAATTCAAAATTATAAATAAATAATCTGCTTTCTTTTACAAAAAAAAAAAAAAAAACATATTTCAAAATTAAGACAACCTTAAAAAATATTAATTGAGAAAATTAGATTTGAGAAAAGTAGGGGTTTAAAATTCCAAACTTGTGCATATTCATGTGTATTATAAAAATAATTGTAATTAGTTTATATATATATATTCAGACTAACTTTCGCATATGTTTTTTCAATTAGATCTTGAGCACGCATGTCATCCATACTCGGATGCAGTCACAGAAAAGTAATTATCTTGTTGTTAGTTATGCTAATTGAGCAATAACATGGTATTAACTAATTTTCTATTGGCAATATGTTTTCTAAATAAATATATGTTAAATTTCTTGAGAATAAATACTTTCAGCAACAGTTGTTTAGGGGAAAAAAAAAAAACAAAAAAACTTTAGCCAGATACCATAGAAACATGCAAAAAACTCTCTGGTCACGAGAATCAAGAAGAAGAAAATTACGGTATATTAGACTTGGTTCTAAAATTTTTGCACTGAACTGGACAAACATTCAGCTCATACATTTTTAATAATCTGTAGTGAAATGTGAGTAATTTTTGGAAATCAATAGGATGCAACAGGTGTGTGAATATTAAGAACTTAATTTTATTTATACATCTCCCTTGAAAAAATTAACTTGCTTTTTTTTTTTCCCCCTAAACATTCATACTTCCAGACAAAACAAGAAATGCATACCCTGTATGGACACAAAAAGCAGCTTACCTTCTCTGCATTATTTGCAGTGGTTAATGGTGCTGCTGCCTTCTCTTTTGTCAAATCATAATTTATTTAACAAAATGATAATGAAAGAGAGAATTATTGAACTTTCAATGTGTGGGGGAACTTTACAACCTATAGTCTTGGAACTACTAACCATAAAAGTCCAATTTATGGTGGTGGATGAGAAAAAATGGCCTCACCTCATTTCTTGTTCTGCATTAAGGTGCCTCTTTTAGGCCTTTTTCTTGCCTTCGTTTTCTTCTCAGGCTTGCTTCCACTGTAGACCAGAGACTCTTGATCACTGACTGGGGTGTGTAGATGACAGGGAGGAGGAGGTGAAGTGAGTGAAAGTGAAGACAACGGATGAAACCCTAAAGCATTCTTTTCTACCCACATAGAAGCATCATGTAGCCTATATGGAGGAGGTGAATGATGAGTATCAAGAAGAATGATTCCGTTCTTGATCAACTGTTTTCTGTGAAAATTTCTATGACAACCGCAAGCTTCACATATGAAAGCTTCTTTAGTACCCGGAACACCTTCTGGAGTGAACTCTCCACAACCATCAACAGCATAGCCACCAGTCAAGATGGCATGGTTACGCCAACACTCTCTATACTTGGTGATTTTCATTGTTTCTTCGTTGAGTGGTTTGGATTTTGAGTCACCATTAGCCATGGGAGAGAGTTTGAGGAGGGAGAGCTGGAGGGGTAGCTAGCTAGCACCTAGCTGTGTTAATATATGTCCTGGAAACTTTTTTCCACGTTTCTTGCAAAGTGTCATATTTTATAGTCGTAGAATGCACTTGCTTAGTTGCTTTCATTCGTGTACAGTATGTGTGGTTGGCGCTATTAGCTGCATGATTTAGAAAAGGGGCAGGTTTGGTGAGGGCCAGAGGAAATCAAGAAGCATCTGTCAAGATCATCGAGGGAGGCTTTTGCCAATTTCTTTGGTTTAGCTTCGCTAGTTGTTAGAAAGGTTTGTCAACTTATGGTGTTAAATTTCTTTAACACTACCAAGCATTGGAGCATTTATTTCCTTCTCATTAAGTCTTTCGTTGACAATGCGGCATTCTGTCACTGTAGATCAATTTGTACTCAAGCATGAAAGGATTCTTAGGAGAAGCAACCCTAGCCAAGCGTAGAGTACTGGAAATGATGTTCAAGTAACAACAGGCTGCAGTTAATTATCTATCCTGTCAAAACACACTCCTAATGATATTTGTAAGAGTGGTTTGGCTTCAGGGTTTGACAAAGGACAAGGGGATATTGCCATTAGCAGTTGGACTATTTCATCAGATTAGGTCTGAGTGATCTGAAGAAAAAGCAGATCTGCAGTCATATTATACAAGCATAAACTGGTTGTCCCTCTCATTATCATTGACAAGTTGAAGTGTAAGTTACATTAAGAAAATGATATCTTATGCTTATAATCTTTTGTTCTAACCCCAAAGGAAATTGAAAATAAAAAACCGAAAGAAAAAGAAATCTGAATTTAACAAAAAAAGAAGAAGGAAAAACTGTGATCTATTATCCTTTGATTTTTCATTGCACAGCCTACTGCACCCAGCCTTGTCCATTAGTTATATGAACAAGAATCCCCAATAAACAATACATATAGGCACATCATTTACCATGTACAAAGAAATATCTTTTTCCATTACAGTAAACAGATTTGCAAATATATACTAACAACCATGGACCATTGAAAAGAAAAAAGAAAAAAAACTTGCAAGCACCTGACTTGTTTCAAGTTATTTCCAACCTCTGTTGGTTTGTGCTAAAGAGAGACGGGACACACTCTCTTTATCATCTCATAAATATGATTGACTGTCCACAGAGCTAAGATGACAAACTTTTCCATTGCCATACCTCTTCTTGTTGCTACGCCCGCCGCAAGTAATGGAAATTTCACATCCAAAAACGTTACCGAAACATGAAAACAATCGAGCTTCTGGCCTCCGCCTATGCTTCTTACGTTTCGTGTGCATCTTCCGAAGATCGTTATCATAAACTGGAGGAAGTTCTGTTCTCCATCTCTCAAGCTTTGTTCTTAGGCCTTCGACACTGTCATTTTCCGTCCAATCCTCAAGAATTGAGCTCCGTGCGCCATCTGCATCCTGTTGACCAGCAGTTGCCGGTCTTTTAATCAATCCTTTAGCAATTGCTGCTGCCACAACAGAGGCAGAAGGCCCGACGTCGGAGCAAAGCGATCCATTGACCATACTACCATTGCCATTGCCATTATCTTTGTCTTTAACACTGGTTTTTACCACCGAAGAATTAACCAACGAGCCACCTAGTGACCTGCCGCCACCCTCTTTCAAGCCAGAGTAGTCAGAGATGGTCTGGTCAGTTTGGTCGCTCTGCGTGCGACGCAATTTTGCACTCTTTTCTTCAAGGCTTTGTCCGTTGGTTTTGGCATCAATGAGGTCATTGAAGCCTACTGCGGACGCACTAAGTTCAGTGTATAAAGGCATGCTGCGCATTGTACTGTCCAGCAGCTGCACCCCCAAGTTGAGGATCCCTTGAGGCCGTCCTGACGGGCGGCGAACCTGAAGTGCAACAAAGCGCATTTTGTTGTTGTTGTTATGGGAAGGAAATAAGTTGCTTATCAGAACTCTTACAGATCCAATCTGAACATCACGTAGCCACGCTGCAGCGTAGATTTCAATCATGACAGAAGAGTTTTCAGCATTTATGAATGTTTCATCAACACGGAACACAAACTTTTCATTCCACTGAGGATTGATGTGGCCATTTTGGTCGACCTTTGTGTTCAGTTTCCTTCCTGGATGCACCCAAACTACTGCGTAGGTACGCATTGATCTGGACACCGGAGCCAGGTCTTGGGCTGATATAACATTGATTTCTAAAAGCTGAAAAGGGTGAGCATTGTAAGTCATGCTGGCTGATTACTACGGCGGTCGTGGGCTAGTGTTGGCTGGGGGCAGCAACGCTGGCCTCTTCCCTAAACTTGCCCTGCGCCAACATAAAAGGGACACAATGATCATGGATGAAATTGGAGGAGTTTTGTTGCGTTAGAATTCATGGGGTGCAGCGAAATGAAAGGGAAAGTAGTTAAGTCTGGTCTATTTTTAGACCTCGATTGTGTTACACTGTGACTAGACAAACTCTTGCGAGTTTGGCTCCCTCTCCATTAAATTTAGATAACAAAAGCTGTCAATGATTTTGAAGCTTCTAAACATTTTCTATCAGTCAATGATGAATACCTAAAAACATATGTCTGTAAAACTTTCTAATCACGCCAATTTTAGTAAACTTTTTAGCCCCCCATATGTAACGAAATCTTCAAACATCAGGTGTCAAAATTAACACCGAAGAAGATTGCTATTTGACTTTGCACCTTTGAGTCATTGACAGCTCAACTTAATTTCAATCTTCTAGACCATTAGATAGACATTAAAACTCCATATTTAGCAAATCTAAGATAGAACCTGATTTAAAGCATATGATCATTTCTATTTTATTCGGACTTTTTACAAAGAGATAAGCATGGTTTGTTGGTTACTCCACATTTAGCACAAGCTTTTACTTAGTGCTATTCCTCTTTTCTGATGGAAATGTCGAAGGAAGAGCAAGACATGGCTTGGGAAGTATGTAGGAGATCGTTAGGATGGGAAGAAGTGCTGTGAGTTTCCCTTGATGATTCTGAAATTGAGTGAAAATCACCCATGTCAAATGGGACACATCTGCTCCAGATACCAGCAGCCTAGCTCCTATATATGAAACTTCTTACATTGCTCTTTGCAAAGGCATTGCAAGGAATCGGATGGCACAGCCAGAATGGGTTAAATCTTTCTCACTTGCTGACCCTTAATTAGATGTCAGGGCACAAAGCGTAATACGATGGCGAGCTAAAGAACATTGACCCACATTTTTGTTCTTGCATAGAATAGCTGATGTAATCAAATTTGATTGTAAAGGGAAGCAACAGTTAGTTCAAATTCATTATTTTTGGTAGGTAAAATTGGTTGGCATGTTCCTGCCTAATGTTTTGTACTCTTTTCTTGTTTTTTGATTAAGGTGGTGCCGTGGCGGTAGTTATACTGAAGGGAGTTATAGGCCTGCGTAGATCTGAGCTCATGATATGACCCTTTCTGATGTACTCATGAAAGTTATTTCAATAATACTTTCAAAATACAAGTCTTGACACATTTCCTTTCCAAACATATTCATCCAATGTACATATCTCCCTTCAGTATGGAACAGTTTCTTTTCGTAGAAATGGTGAAGTCAGCGTGGGATAAAGAACATTCATCTTATTTACAATTATTACATATACTAAAAGAGAACAAGATTTCACTATAGCTTAACATCGTTTTTAATCTTTTTTTACTCATAACGATGCCGTTTTCTCAGAAAAAAAAATAATTTTTTTTATCAATTTTCAATATTTTACATATTAATTTCTAAATTATTACTTTATATAAAACAGTTCTTAATTTTAATTAATATTATAAAAAAATCCCTATAATATTTTTTGCCAGACTGGTTTTTCTCATTAATTATTATTTAATCAAAATAATTTTTTTCCCATAATTAATGATTACTTTTTCTATTTTTATAAATATTCGTTAACTAAAATTATATATTCTTCTAATATAAATTGATTAAACACCTCCTTCTAATTTTATTTTTTTTTTGCCAGAATCAGCAAACAAATGCCACACTTGATGAACTATACCTATACATGCAATTTTTGCCAACCTCTCCAACTTCTGAGTAGAGTTGTTACATGAATGATTCTGCATTCTTTTCGGAAACCTGGCTGCACCTCAACACATTTTAGGCAGCCACTACAATGTATACACAACAGGCAGCATGTTGTGATCAGAAGGCAAATCATATACTCGAACATAATGAGTGGCCTTCATTACATTAAAGGCAAAAACTAATCTTCTAGCCTTCATCACAAGCAATAGCGTGCTAATAGTGCTCTCGTGAACTGCTGCGGAAATGTGACAAGTGATACAATCTTGCAACTGCAGACATAGACCTGTGCAAACCCTCTATCAACATAGCAAAGAAAAACAGATAGACTAACAGTAAGACTTTTGTATGTGCCTTGGCTAGCATATTTCATCTCCCAACCAGTTGTCCTTTTCCTTCGGCCCAGTTGGCCCCTCCTCGCCATAAAGCTCTGTTGGAAACAAGTCGACAAGGTTCTCCACTGAAAATCTAACAAAAAATGGTAGAAGATTAAGTATCTTATCTATTTCAGATCTTGAATCATACACAATGGTTGGGCCCCATTCTCTCATATACTGCAACCAGCATGGTTCTGTAACAACTCCATCTCCGAGATATTCAGCCGCAACAAGCTGATACCTTAAGCTTGAATCCACATAATATTTGCTTCGAGCAACATCATTTCTCACTCCAATTCCAAGCTTTGTTGACCCTTGAAGGTAAGTCCCAGGATGTGGGAAACTAGCATGACCATGTTTTGAGGAATAAACAACTGGCCTATTGCCTTCAATGAATTCCAATTCTGAAGCATCCACCCATCGACCCCCACTGTGCTCTGAGAAGAAAACTTGCCACAGTTCTCCAGTGAAGTTGCTCACACGAAGGGTGTAGTGCTCCCAATCACCCACATGTTGTCCTATCTTGGTCATTGGTATAGTCACTAGACCAAGTTTAAGGGTGGCTGGTCCATTGAAAGGACAAAAAATCCACATAGCAATATCAGTAAAAGTTCCCCCTAAGGCTGGCTTTACATGAACATAGAGCTCAGCACTGTCTAAATCTCCTGCTATGACATCATTTCTTGCACCATCATCAACTGGCAAATCTATCCAAAATCTCCCATCATTTTCTCCTCCACTAGGCAAGTTGGAGCCCCTAAGGTCAATACGTTCACCCTTCTGCCTGCCATCTTGGTACAGAAGGGTTCCATTTTTGAAGAACCATTGCACTGATGAGGGCAAGCAATCTTCGTCTGGATGGAAGAACACAGTAGGGCCATAATGCTTAATTAGTGCATGAAGCTGGTCGAGATTTGGCATTGCAGGCAGAGAGTGGTCAAGATTTTTCAAGCATGCAATATCTATCAGAACTTCATCAGAACTCAAGTAGGAGTTGCAGTAGAATGTCCCAACAGAAACACCTTTAGCAACCATTCCCCTTCTGTAGGGCCTTGTGTTCCAAACCTCAAATGGCTTGGAAGATTTTGAATCCGAGGACATTATTTGATCGCTGGTTACACATCTTTCAGTAAGATCAGCTCGAACACATCTAACTTCTTCAACTTTAGGCTCCTCTGGATTGTTAGTGACCACAATGCCCATAGCCTTGTAACCTTTCGGGGGGTTTGGCAGCCAAAAGTAACCACTATCATTCTTCTGTGGATCTGAACTCCAAATCAACGAGTAGTTAAGCGGCTTTCTAAGAGGAGAGTCTGCTTCTGAGTCATGGATGCAGCCAACTTCAGGCTTGGGAGCATTGGAGTCACAAACTACAAGCACGTATCCTCTCAGACACTGGTCATTGGGCTGACAGTAGTAACCAAGACAGTGAAAACCTTCTGGTATCCCAACAGGTCGATAAAATGTGACCCCTTTTGGTTTTCCACGTAAAAGACCACAGCTCCAAACACTCTCAAATTCGGTAATTTTGATGACTTCTATTTCTCCCAGATTTATTCTTCCAGTAGCAAATCCTTGACCTGAGAAAATGAATGCATTATCATTTCTAATTACTAGCTGATATTCTAAGATCTTAGAAACTATATAAAACAATTATCAGCATAGCTGTAATGCAGTAAAAAATACAGGGATCAGAACAAAGGGAAGGGTATATTACGAATTTTATGCATTGAAGAAACCTATAAAAATTGTTTATTTCAATTTAAAAGAGTTGAGTCCGCATGCAACAACACGTCAACTTACCTCTTTGTTTTAAAGTGTAGAAAAAAAATAGCTACTGATTCATAATTGATTCCATCAAAAGAAAGACTTAGCAATTCAATGTTTTTGAAAGTTTCAAGCAAGCTTCGACTTTTAAGGCATTCCAGATCATCAAAGCTTTAACCCAAGTTCAAGCATGTGCAGGACAACTAATCCGTAAGTAACAAAAGACTACAATTATCAGATCACGATTCCAACTATAATTATTTAACTAAGAATAACTACCTTCCTTCAAATGGTAATCAAGCTGGTTGGTAATCTATTTGATATATGTAACTGGCTAGATATAACAAGAAACAAAAAAGGAAACTTCTGAGATGTACAAAAGATTTAGGCATTTAGCAGACAAATTAAATAATTTGCGCAACTATGGAAACACTGCAATTACAGGTCACTGAGTAAAATATTCAAAATATTAATTTACTCAAACAAAACACCCATAATCAGGAGTCAGTAACCAGAAGACAGGATCACCAAAAATTAAATGAGAGAAAGAGAAGAGGATAAGGCATATACAAAGCATATTCTGGCCATTAATTAACACCAAAACTATATATATATAAAGAAGAAGAAGAGCTGATGGAACCCATATCAACAAGCAACCTATATCCAAACAAAACAGTCAAGTGATGATCATGCACTGCAAGAAACGAAAGAAAAAACCCAGAAATTAAACTCAAGCATGATCAACAAAAAAACACTTCGGTTTTTGTTTTTGTAATGAGACATAATCAACCAAACATCTTATTTGTTAATTTATTTTATCGCCTTCTGTAAAGAAAGAAGCATGTATATGTATGGATACCTTGAGGCCATTTAGGAAGAGGTGCAGGCAAAGAGAAAGGTTGGGGGTCTGGGAAGTAGAACTCATCATCATAATAATCTTGGTTGCTCCAACAAAAACACTCACAGTACCCACCAAACATATCTTATTTTCTTTTCTGAGTAGTCTTGTTCAACTTGTTACTACTAAACCAGCTGCTAGCTCTCCAACAAGAATCTCAAAGACGAACCAAAACCCACAATTTGTTCTGATCTTTAGCCTCTGAATTCAATAGTCTCTCTTTCTAAGGACCACTGTGTTTGTCTTCCCAAGAAAAACAAATAGAGAAGGAGAGAGAGAGAGAGACGTTTTTGGGTAAAGGAGATTCCTTTCCCTTTAAAAAACTCTCTCACACAGTGATCAAAGAAACATTAAAGAAAAAAACTGAAAATAACAATGACCCGTGAATGAATTTATTAAAGCCAAATAGAGAGAGAGAGTTTTTCCTTTGTCTTAAAGAAGAGGAGAGCAGCGGTTGTACTGATTGGAACGAAAGGAAGATGATGTCTTGATGATGTTGTTGCTTCTTTCTTTTTTGTTGCTTAGCTTTGGTTCGTTTACCTTTTTGGAGGGTAACCTTTATTATTATTATTATCTTTTTAACACACCGCTCCTAAATTTTTGAAGAATGCGGAGTGCAGCTTGCTATCTCACTCTCTGTCTTTAGAGCGTGATGTTTAATTATGGCTTCCCTGCCTCCCTAATTTATTTTTATTTCAAGATCCAATTTATTTAAAAAAAAATGTTAAATACTACTACGTTGCAAATTGCAAGTCATAAATATATTCCGAGTATAATTGGTTAGTTTTTTAAGTTTACTGATTCAAAAAAAAATTCCAAAAAAAAATTAATGATCTAAAATTATATAAATTTAATATGTAATTGTGATACCAAAATATTAATTTAGACTTAAAGAGTAACTAAAACAAAAACTAGAGGAAAAATTTACCTGTCAAATTCATTTGAACATTGATAGTAACTTTTTAACTTATATTATATATATTTACAGAAAATGTCATTTTTTATTTAAATATTAATTTTTTATTTTAATTATTAAAATGAACATAGATCATAGGAAACATCATGTGTTTTGTTTTTTAATATTTTATGATTAAGATTTGAATATTGATGGGGTTAAGGTATAATGTTGCTGATTGAAAGGGGTTAGCACAAATGGTAGGCATACTATCCTATTGGTTACTAAGATTAAAAATTTTCTGGTTTTCTTATTTTGGTCCTTACCTTTTGAAAAGGTAAGAGATTGCTAGTGTAAAAAAAAGGCAAAGTGACATTATTTGATTTTCTCATAACAATATATTTAGCCACTTTGTCACTTGGATGGCAAAAAAATTATCATCCTACCGATCAACAATTCATAATAAAATGATATATTTATTTTTTATATTTATATAGTTTAATGGTTTTTTTAGTTAGTATAATAACTTAATCAATTTATATTTTATTTGATTTTTTTATTCAAAGATAAGAAATATTCTTGTGTTAACTTCTATATCAATTAAGATTAAGTTTATTTTTTAGATAATTTTAAAAACATACACTCCACATCAGTTCGATTTATTCAAAAAAAAATTTATACATTATCTTAGGGTTTAATTTCAAAGTTTAAAATTAAAAAATCAGGAAAATAAGCTTTTTTTTAATCATTAAGTCAACCTTTTAAAGTTACTGTTTAATCATCTAATCTAAGAATAAAAATAGATTTTTCAAAATTACTCAATGAATTTTAAACAATAAAATGTATCCTCCGCATGTTATTTGAATGTTCAAAATTTTAAATCTCAAATACAAGTCAGAAATTTACATCAAAAATTCATCAATATTGGTAAAAAAAAATAAATTATCGAATCTTTGCAAAAAAATTTCTTACATCACCAAAACAAAAATCCATTCTTTATAATTTTCCCATTTTTCCTTTGAATTCTTTAAATTATGTTTGTTTTTTTTTTTTTTTTTCCTCCCGCTCGATTCAAGCCAAAGTTATGGTGGAATTATACCTTTTTGTTTTAAATAATGTGAAGATAATTCCCATTAATAAATTGCTACATGATGGGCGAGAGCTTAAAGGAGGTCAACGAGGGTATGCTAGGTGTTCTTCACGCGCGTAGGATGCGTGGATGTACCCTTCATTGTGTTTCGCATCGTATTTCTAAATGTGGGTGTGTATTTATATATATAAAAGAGAAAAGAAATGCTGCTGAGAAACATTAGAGAGTGGGTAGGTGTACCTTAAGTTTATGCTGCTACATCTTTCTGCATCCACATGATAGTGACTTGCTGATATTTTATTGGGCACCCATTTTGCTTCTTTAATTCTTGGATTGATGATATTGAATATCAGTTAGTGCATCATTAAATTTTCTTATGGTAAAAAATGGATTACAGATCATTAATCTTTATCCAAAAAGATCCGATTGAGTAAAAAAAAAAATTCAGTTATTTAAATAAATAATCTAGAGTTCGAATCTCTCTATATGTAAAAAATTCTAAGGATAGCTGTTTGTATCTTGTACGTCCGATATGATAGGTAAGGATTACTTTGAATCTTTAATTTTGGAATACCCTGAAAAATAAAAATATATCATTATTTTTTTATTAAAAATCTATCAATAATTAATAATTTGTCAATATTTATTTAATTTACTCACTTTGAAAACATATTGATATGATAAAAAAGAGAGATAAAAAAATATACTTGGACATAGAAGATTCATAAGATTTATTTACGTATGAAAATTATTCAAATCTAATTTATAAAATATGTGTGAAGGTGTAACCTTATTGATAATTTCTCACTTTATTATTTAAAATTCAAATTTTACGAAAGGCAGAAGAAATTAATTTCTAATAAATATTCTAGTTTCAACATTAATAACCTGTTTAAGACTTTTTTTTCTTTTAAAAAAAGTATGTTTTCATTAAGATAATAAAGAATGTATATTAGAAAGTATTACATGTTTTAAACATGGAGGAAAATCCTCTTAATCGACAACATTAAATCTTACTAAGTTCGCTAACTTGTGAACAATCCTATTATTCACACGTTTGACATAATTAAAAGAAAAATACCAAAAGTATGGATATCGAAAGCAAGAAAAGATAAAAGTGATAACCCGTCTTCTTCAACTATGCTAAATCAGTGAAGAAGGTTAGCATAGTCCGATGCTAGATAATTTTTTTTTGTGAATTTTAAATCAGGTTAAAAGTTTAGGATATCCTTCAACTGTTTCAAATGTTTTAATTTTGTCTCTCTAATAGATTTTTTAACTATTGTGTCCATCTATTCTTAATTGCATCCGTATTTGATCCCTCCGATCACTTTTTTAGACAATATAAACGAAAATAACAAAACATTGTAGTTATTTTCGTTATCCGAAAAAGTGATTAGAAAGATTAAATGCGGACACAATTAAGAATAGAAGGATACAATAGTTAAAAAATTTAATATAAAGACACGATTAAAACATTTGAAACAATAGACATATCGAATCTTAAACTCATTTTAAATCTTTAACAAACTAAACACCAAAAATTTGATGAAAGCTTTTTACAATAAGCAATAAATTTAAGAAATTAATTTTAATCAATAAGAAAATATAATTTGATATACATGTTTGTTTTAAAATTTAAAAACATGAGAGGTCAAAAATATCTTTTAAAAATATGAAGAGCTAAAAATATATTTTCAAAAAATAAGAGATCAAAATGGACTAGATTAAAAACATGAGGTGTCAAAGCATGAGGATTCAAAATATATTTTGAAAAAATAAGAAACCAAAAAGAAATAATGTGCAAAATTTGAAAATGGATGCCAGAAATTATCAAAAAAAATCACAAAAATACTGTCTGTGAACAGTAAATGAATAATGATTTAAAGTAAATGAATAGTAATGTATTGCTTATATCTTTTAGTTTTGTTTGTAATTTGTAATGATTGTGTTGGCATGTATGAGAATGTGAAGCAAAGCAAATGCTGCTTACTTTAGCAGTCGATGATTGTCCAATGTCCAATGATCTAACATTAACCATCTTGTCTTGTCTTTGTCATTGCTAATTAAGCGCCAAATCATTACCTTACTTTGATAATGCATCTTTACTCAATTATTAGTGGAAATGATCCATAGGCCTTGCGTACGCTTTGAAGAAGATATTTAGTTTCAAAGGTGGTTGCAATTAATAGCATCCAGTGGCTCCACCGAATTATATGCTCAACTAAAAAGGTATATACCACAGAACTTGCAGCCCTTGCACGATATCTACTTTAATAATTCATTTTTATGGGCAAACTTGACTTGATGCCTAACCCAAACGCACTGAAAAGTCACGAACCTGGCCGTCTCCGTCCGACTGGAGAGCTTGGACCAGGAGAAATCATATTCAAGAATGCTTGAAACTAATAAATAGTAAGAGACAAGGCTATTCTCAGCTGTGCAAATATCAAAGGTTGTGTGTGCATTCACAATAATTATCAGAACTGGAATTTTATCCCAAAGCTATTTTAGACCAAAAACAAAAAATCATCATTTAAAAAGATTAACTTTAATAGAAAGAACTTTAATTACTTAAACAAATGATCTCGAGTTTGAATATTTATATATAAAAAAAAATTTTCGAGGTAACTATCTCTATTTTGTACGTATGATAGAATAACGAGATATTATTCTGAATGTTTAATCTTGAGATACTTTGGAAGAAAAAAATAAAACGTCATCACTTATGCAAGCGTTGTAATTAAAGCCTATCATATTTCATGGGGAAGGATAATCTTTTGGGATAATTATCAAAATCCACTAAAAATATTTATATATATATCTATCAAAAAATCTTTATATCTACAAAATTTCTAACAAGATTTTCATAAACAATAAAAATAAAAACCCAAAACCTAATTTTCATTTAACATTCTTAACTCATTTGATTTTTCTGATATTCAAATTTTCTTTTATCAATTTGGATGAAATTATTTTACAAGGTCTTATATCCAATATTAAAATTTAAATCATTTTTATTACTTAAATATACAATTATATTATATATTACATATAAATGTAATATACAATAATTTTATTCTTCATATTTCAATCATTTTTTCAACAATTATTTTAAGCCAACACCTTTCTTCATTGTAAGTATATTATATTAAATATCTTCTATTACTTTTCATATCAAAGAATCCAAATGGTTTAATAGTGTCAACTGAAAGTTAGATGTATGATTTTTTAGTATGAAAGTTTTATATTGAAATTAGATAAATGAAACGGACGTTTTGAAAATTATTCCTAATATTATTTAAAGCCTAACAAATTGTAGTGAAAATATATCATAATTATCGCTAAAATTAATATAATAGTTACTTCTATAGTCAAATAAATGTTACTAATATAAATAGGGTAATAAATACAATAATTTGAAATAAGTTGTTGGTCCAAACCAAGTGAACCGGGCTTCAACGAATTTTTCGTCAAAGTCTTGATGAGAGGGATTAAACTATTTCGCTTTGATTTTGAAAAAAATTAATGTTATTTTCAATTTGAGATAAAGATACCTGGGATTTTACAACATAGATTTCATGACATTTTTCTCAATAACTCCGAAAAAGTTGCTGTAAAAAATTCAATTTTAAAGCAGTGAACCCACGAAACAAGATGCTTGGGTGGAAACATAAATATATATATATATATATATTTATACGCAATAATGAGTGAAACTGATTGGTGCTTTGTATCTTTTGCTGAAAATGCTTCCTTTCCTTGTCACAAGTTCAGATCCATTGGAGGTGGCCATGACCGAGTCAGTCCCGCGTTATGAACAATAGATTCTTTCTCATGGCGTGCACGAATGTCCTTGTCAGATGTCCTAATTTTGTGTGGCTGGTTCCATTTTTAATAACTTAATAACGTCCATGCAGCTGGATTTATTTGGTCTCGTTTGGACGGCTAGAAAAGAGAGCACACTTTCAGATGTGGAAATTTGGAAAATACAAAGCACAAGCACATCAAAATCATTGATTAAGCAACACCATTCGGGGCATAAATATCTTGATTGTTGAGATTTATTTATACGAAGTAATTTTATTGTTTGAGAATTCTACATTAAGAAGTATTGTTAAATTATTTTATACCTCAATTGAAATTAAGTATTTTTTATAAATAATTTTGAAAATACCTTTTTTTACATCAATGTAATATATTCATTAAAAAAATTAATAAATTTTATTTGAAACTGTCTCAAAATGAAAGTTAACTATGCTTCGTAGGTATTAAACAATTCTTAGATGAACGCATATAAAAAATAGACAGAGACAGAAATAGGTAAATGAAAATTGGGTATGAACAATTGCTAATATTACCGAATTTGGTTGGCCCAGTGGATGGGGAGTTCTGTTTCTCTGATCTCCAGATATATTTCGTCTATTGGTATATGGGCACATGGCCCATGCCCATGGCCTGGTAAGATATTGGGCCTAAACTCTTTGGTCTTTTCGTTGATTTAGGGCTTGTGGTCTATATGGTTATGATCAGATTGTCCATTACCTGCAAATGCTAGACTGCTACCTCATCAACATTATTTGGCCTTATCAAAATTACACTTTCAAAACTCCAATGTTGCAAGGCCCATTAAATTTGGCTGTGGTTTTCATATCCAGACCTTATATATATATATATATATATATATATATATGTTTTTTTTTTTTTTTTTTGGTATTTTTAGGTAGCCCTCTTCCATTCCTATTTCTTGATTTCCACCTCTGAAACCTTACCGGGCTATTATATGGTTGTATTTTTGGGTATTATAAGTTGTTGCGAGAAACTACAAAATACGAAAAGGTTAACTGTTGCGTAAATTTGAAGTACCTGTAATTATTATTATTATTATTTTATTTGAGTGCGCGGACTCCTTATACTGATAAATTTCAATCAATCAAGTAAACTGCCAAATTTGTTACTACAATGCTAATGTGATACTTGACTCTCTGTCAAGTGGGCTCAAATTGATTTTATTTTAATTTTTTTATTTTTTTGAGATATGTATCATTCGTAGAATTTATCTAATACAACGAATAAAAAATATAATATACGTCATCTCGAAATACAATAGGTTCAGCTATCGTATCGTATTTTAATAAATTTACATTATTTGTAAGACTTGAAACTCTAAAAATAACAACATCATTCTTACCCAAAAATAATATTAATAAAAATTATATGGCTCTTTTTATAGTGGAAGATTAAAAAATAAAACAAATATTTTTATATATATTGTTTAAACAAAGCAAGAGAAGTGTTGCATATTTTCCTTTTCTTAGCAAAAGGATATCCTGCATTTTTATCAAGAAAACAAGTATAAAACATGCTGCCCCGGGTTGCCAAAACATGACACACACATACACATATATAGCTAACAAAACGATAAGTAACGATTTTCTTTTTAATATTATATTTATACTATTTCCATGACAGTAAAAAAAAAAAATGATAAGTAATATATGCTTTAATTATTTTTTTCAGTCATTAATATTTTTTAAAAAATATATCAAAACTATCATATGAAGTAATTGTACTTTTTATTTTTTTTATTTGAGTATATATATTTTTGAGTACTTATGCTAACAAAATTTAACGAATCAAGTTTTTATTATAAGTATATTAATATGTCAGTTATCATTCTGTCAAGTGGACTAGGTGTTACTCAACAATAACAAATAGTACATGCAGTACATGTACTTCTTGATTTTAAATGACTCAAACTATCTTTATCTAGATTTTAAATGACTTGGTCAATGATACAAATACAAATGAAGTCATTTCCTTGTTTTTCTATGCATTTACTGATTTTCTTAAAATAACAAAAAAATAAAAATAAAAACTAATAAAATTAATTAATTAATTAAGATGGCGAGTTCAGATTTATGTTACTCATTAGTTAAGATTTTTTTAAGCTTCTAGTTGCCTAAGCTTGAACTCTAACTAAAGAGTACGAAAAAAAATGTAAACCCATCTAATTAATTAATTCTATTGATTTTTTTTTAATTGTTTGTTATTATTTTTTTAATTTCTTGTTGGAAAATAAAAAATGTTGAAAAATGACAAAATCAGGGTTACTTCAGACACAAAAGGCCAACTTTTATTGAAGATAACCAACATATAAGCTGATTTATAACAAAAAATTATAAAAGTACTTGATTGATCAAATTTTACGAAAATAAATACTTATATAGAAAAAATAATCAATATATGTATTTAAATAGAAAAACAATCAAAATGTACATGTAATTCGTTAAAAAATAATTAAAATAATATAAATCTTGACTCACTATACATAGAATTGACTACCATATCAACATTTAGTAATATAACTGATAGAGATAATTGATCAAAATTTTTGCGAATACAAATACTTAAATATAAAAAAATCAATATAGATACTCAAATAAAAGAAGAAGAAAAAAGAATAGAGTACTCCATATATATAGACAGACCATTATGTATTAATTAGTAAATTCATATACTATTATCATTACGTGCTATTTTGGACAAGCTGAAAGCGACTAAGTTCATCTAAATCTCAACTCAGATCCTTTTGAAAAAGGCTTGCATGTGGCAATTAGATAAGTTAGGTTGGAAGATTAACTCAAATCCCAACTCCCGGTTGGTTCACTGTAACGTAACTATATGGTATTCTTGAACAACAATTTCCCTCATTTTAACTCCATCAAAACCACACCTAATTAGACAAGATTAACATTGCAAAACACCTCCCCCGAATGGATTCACCCTCCAAACCATTCTCTCTTGTATCTCATGATATTCTAGTTCTCTTAGCCAGTTTAGGGCTTTTTCTACCATCTGTTCGATGTGGTTCAGATTTTACCACCTTGGTATACAAGAAATGTTCGAACCACACATACACAGGCTCCACCGAGTCTCACTCACAAACCCTTTCCTCTCTTTTTCAAGAACTCTTACCACAATCCTCTAATTACAAGTTCTTTAAAAGCACAGCCGGCGACGAAAATATCGGCATTTCTGCTTTCTTTCAATGCCGAAATGATTTAAGCAAGGACGATTGCCATAAATGTGTGAACACACTTCCTAAGGTATCAAACAGCCTATGTAAACGAGCCCTAGCAGCTAGGGTTCACCTTGATGGATGCTATTTCAAGTATGAGACTGATGCGCTTGTCGATGAGACCTCAACGCACGAATTGCTTCATGAAACATGTAGCGAAAAAAGGTGGTGGCTATTGGCTTCGAAGAGTTAAAGAATGCAGCGTTTGCAGCAATGGAGAGTGCGGTGGTGAATGATGGAGGATTCTACGAAACAAATTATGAGAATTTGCATGTTATGGCACAGTGTCAGGGTGATTTAGGGGGTTGTGATTGCGGTGAATGTATAAGTACTGCAGTGCAAATTGTTGAGGAGAAATGTGGGAGCTCAATTTCTAGCCAAGTTTATATGGACAAGTGCTTTATGAGCTATACTTACTATCCAGATGGGATACCTGCAGGCAATTCACACCCAGGTAATTAAACTTAATAAAATAGAGTTTAAATTAATTAAGTAATTTATTTACGTCATGCATGCATACCAAAATAATAATAATAAAAGAAAGTGCATGCTAATTATTTATAGAAATATTACAATATGCTGAATTAAGATGATTTGGGCAGAAAAAGAAAGCAAATCTGGAAAGAGTAATGGGAAACTTGTAGCAATCGTTTTGGGAGGGGCAGCAGTTTTGGGAGTTGGATTCATCTTGTTGAAGCTCATATCGCGCGGCAAGGAAGAGGATATATAGTAAGACCAAATTATACTAATTAGTCTAATTAATTAGCTGAAATAATATTCTTTTCATTTTAGTTTCATTGTCATGATCTAGAGCAGTTTTAATTGATTGTGGTAAGGATGTAGTAACATATGTACGTAATTAATTATGGTTTTTTTTTTTTTTTGGTTTATGCAGAAATTATTTAGATGAAGATCAACTTTGGCATATGTGTAAATCTTGGAGGGTTGGCTGCCTAGCTGTGCTGCGTACCTTTTCATTCTAAGAAGAAAAATGTGTGGGTAGTTATAGGTAGAAAGTGGAGGGTGAACGACTGAACGTAGGTGGGAAATATTGTCAAAGATTAAAAATGATGACTGGTTTGAAGAAGAATATTATCGATACGAGGAACAAGATTATTTATTTTAGGGTGTTTACAAATTTAAAGAAGATCTTTAAAGGCTTATTGTACACTTGATACAATAGCTTAATTAAATCATTTAACCCATATATATATATATGTGTGTGTGTGTGAAATTAAGAATATCCATTTCATATTCCTACTATTCATTATTTTTAATGTGATTCAATTCACTATTTAATATAAGAAATTGAAAGAGTGATGCAATTGATTTAATTATTTATGCATCTTTAATAATTTATAATCTCTTCCAATTCTCTTCTTAATCTCGAAGCCTATAAATAGGCTTGATTATTTGTTATTTTGTGTAAAAGTATTTTGTAAAGATTAGAAAAATTATTCACTTTATTTTATAGTAAATTCATTTTTCTATCATTTTTTTTAATTTTACTATTATTACCATTTTTTTTATTACACGTTATCAGCACGAAACTCTAACCAATTGAAATAATAGACCATGAGATATGTATCTATCAAAAGACTCAATCATTTGTTTCAATTATTGAATTTTTTCATAAAAATGTTCTACCAAAAGATCTAAATTATCTAGATCATCAAGAGGTATGTATTTAATTTATCATTTATTTTAAATCTAATAATACGTAAACTATACATTTGAAAAACTTGAATGATTTAATATATAGAATCTAATGATCTAAAGAATATTGTTTGAAAAGCTTTAATTTTATTATCATGTTTGTTATTATTTTCTAACATTATTATTATATATTGTATTATAGAATTTTTATCATATCAAACCTCAAAAACTTGATTTTGTGGATTTTGATATTTTGAATAAGAATTATTGATTATGAGTACTTAATTTTGAGAAAATATTCTCTATTTTTCATGCTTCGAATATGCTCCTATAGTAGTAACATCGAGAAAAGGATTTTAAAAATATTTTGAATTAAAAAATTCAATTATTTGCTATCTCGAAATATTTTATTTATTTATTTAAGATAAATCAAGTCGTTTATTGGATATTTTAGAATCTGATTGCATATTTTAGTAGTATTATATTTTTTTCCTAATCTTCTTTAAAGGAAAGGAAAAAGAAAAAAGTCAAGCGGCCTTAGATTTATCCTAATCTAGGAATTTAAAAAATTAGATTTATGGTTGATATTCAAAACTCAGAAAAGGGAAACCAACCCAGGATTATCTATTAAAATTGGAGTAAATTTTAAATTAATCCCTATTAAAAAAACTAATTATTTTGTCTTTTTGTCCATTTATGCACTTTTTAATTTATTTTGTTTTTATTTAAAAAGAAATAAATTAAAAATATGTATATTATAGAATGATTGACGAAAAAAAAGACATTTTTTTTGGAATAAAGTAACATTAAATTTAGTGATTTTGAGTGGTAGGTTGGTTCTTCATCCCCCTCCCTACTCTTCTTGCCAAATTTATACAGAAAGATTTTCTTGTGATTTCTTCAGTTAGTTCCATATGAAACCCCTTCATTAAATGCTCTCTCTAGATTGTCCTCCATTTCTCTCGTTTCTTCTTCATTTTGCTGACTTAGTAGCCTTTTTTCTTTTCATTTTTCCAGCTGGAATCTGGATATAAAGCGCCAATCTCAGTCAAATTAATTGGTTCCTCACTTTTCCAAAACTTTACATTTGGATCCCTAAACTTGTAATTAGTTCAATTAGATTCTTCCATTGCAGTCCCTAAAATTTTAATTTTCACAATCAAGACCTTAATCTAGGCTTTTTCTAATTTATAATGGTTAACTGAATTTTTTTTAATTATTTTGATCAAGTAACCAATCTTTTAATTGTTACAATTAAACCTTCTCAAGTCTTGCAATTACACCCTTAAATTATTATAACCTTAATAATTAATCTTATAAGTTACCAAATCAAGTGTTAAATAATTTACTTACCTCTCACAATATTCATGTATGCCTTAATTTTTTTTTCTATCTAGGCATAAAATATTAATTCATACCTTAAATAAATATTTATATGTTTAAATAATTATTGACACAAAAAAAAAAAAGTTTAAAATTTGAGGGTGTTACAACATCTCTACTATAAACAAATCTTCAATGAAAGTTCAAATGATTTTTTTAATAATCAATTTTTGTTAAATAAAATAGATAGTTCTTTAACGAAATGCAGCTGAATTTTTTTGGCGCTGCATCTTAATTTATGCAGCTACTTTGTCTTTCTCCTCACCGTTTTTGTTTTCAATTTGGGGCTTGATATTATGACTCGATTTATGGGACAAAATAAAAAATTGTAGCTGAATATGAAGATTTTAAAGAGATAATTAAGTGAATTGAATTCTATAACAACCAGCACGCATCGTTCCAGTGTGAAATCAAGTGACGAAAGGTGTAACAACCAACAGTCATTATTCCAGTGGGTCCATGTTTAGGCCAAAAAAAAAAAAAAAAAAAAGGCAAGCATCATGCAATTAAACACGTACAAAAGAAAAGTTTTGATTTTTACGTCCTTTTCTTTTATGATTATCGAGATGTTACAATTAAAAATTTTTTTGGTTACCTGCCATGACCTTCCGAAAAACAACAAAGATCGATGTCCACTCTAGACTATCAGACCAAATATTATCTTTTATTTTTTGTTTATGGATAAATGTTTATTAAAAATGAGTGGTGCGTTATAAGATTTAAATTTTTAAAATACAATCTAATTTTAATTATTTAATTTAATATAATATCAAAACTTGATAACTAAACATTTATCTTACGAATTCTAAACTAAAAAATAAATGACATTGATGAAGATAAATAACCTCCTTAGCAAGCTAATCACTATCCAAGATTTGCCAACTAGATATAAAATCCGATAACTTTAGACATAACTCCACGCACTCGAAAAGTTAAAAAATTGGCTATGATCTTATAAAGCACATTAACAAGACTAATGGCTCGAAAGATTTTTTTTTTTTTTTTTTGGAAAAAATAGGAGATGGGAATAATAAATTACGTTGTGTTATTTTATCTTTGCTCACTTGTCTCCGTCACCGTGGAAGACGTTTTTCAATCTTTCAAGCCCATTCCTACTAGAATCAAATCTTCAATGATTTTTTTTCATGTTTTTATAACAAATTTTATTTGTTTTGTGCGGCTACTTTATCTTTCTCTTAGCTAGTTTGATTTATCAATAAAAATAAAAATAAAATAAAACCAAATGCAGTTGAATACGAAAGATTTTAAAGGGGTAATCCAGCAAATTGAATTGTACAACAACCGATATACATCGTTCGAGTGTGAAATCAAGTGAAATGTATAACAACCCTAGGTTTGATTTCCACTAGGGTCAGGGCTGTGGCTACTGTTCTATATAAGGTCAAGGATGCCTCCGCATTTCTTCACTGCAGTGCATCTTTGTCAGATAGCTAGCTAATTAATTTCAACAAGTTTTCTTCATTAGCAGATATGCATACCAGAGTCGCTGAAACATCACTTCAGTGCTCTGCTGATCTCTTTTTCAAATTCTTTAAGGAGACAGCATGCCGCTTACCTGAGGTCTGCGGTGATATTGTGCAGAAAATAGAACTTGCTGATCGTAACACGAGCTGGATCGATGTTGTTGGTTCCCGCAAGCGGATTTACTTCACACCTTCCCCTGGTACGTACGTAATTAATTGATTAAGAATGCAATAATTTTATTATACTGCTGTTCCATGAATACATGCGATGATTTGAATTCTAGCTAGCTTGGAATCACTTGCGATTAAAATTTCTGAAACATATGTAATAATTAACCCTTGTCTTTTTTTGTTTTTCCAGGTGCTTCAGAGAACGTCAAGTATGAAGTTGAAGGCATAGATGACTCCTCCAAGAAAATATCCTACAATGTGCTGGAAGGATCGATGCTGCAACTTTACAAGACCTTCAAGGTCACTTTTGAGGTTACTGTTTTTGAGGTTACTGCTGCCAGTACCGCAAAGTGGACTATCATATATGACAAACTAGATCCATCATACAAAGACCCTGATGTTTACATCGGACTTTTGCTTACTGTCAACAATGAGGTTAATAACTGCCTTCGTTACTGTTGCGAAGTGTAGGTATCATGAATGATAAAATAAGCATGCATGTTCTCGTCCATTTATAAATATTTATTACGTATGGACCTTTTGGTTTGGTTGCCATATTCACTCGGTTAGTAAGGCTGCCTCCTGATGTGCTCTACCTTCTAGTTAGGGTGTGCATGAAAGGGCAATGCGCCAATGCCTTCTAATAATAGTGTGGGTATTTATATATGTAATAAAGGTGGCCACCCCTCTATATATCTTGTTTGTGTCGACGAATAAAAATAATGGGTGCTTTATTACTTCACGAATCCATTGTGTTTTACAATAATAATAATAATAATAATAATAATATATTATGTTGCGATTTGTTATGGGATTAATATTGCAACGAAATAGGTTTGCTGTTAAAACCGTCAAAAGTAATAATAAAAAAGATAAAATGTTAAACTCATTAACCACCTTATGCATTTGGCTGCTGCAACAAAACACATTTTACATCACTCATGAACCAAGTTATTCTCACAAAATCAAGATATTAATCAGGAGAAGGAAAAAAAGAATAAGTACGCATCAACGAGAAACTTAGTAAAGTATTACAACCATAATAATAATAATAATTGCTGAATTTGGCTTATTAATGTACTCACTTAAGAGTCTTCGACATGATACACTAGTTGACAAGTAAACCATATACTTAATAATCAATTAAGATAAAAAAATAAAAATAAATGTTAATCTATCTTGTAATCTAACTATTTCTACTCTTCTAAAGGGGTGATTTCGCAATAGTATTGGATTTTACCAAGAAACATAGATTTTGTGAATCCCAAGTTTTATGATATACCACAATTTAAGGAAAAAATAAACAAATAACCAAAACATCAATTCAAAATAAAATGGCTTTATAAAGTGTCATCATTTTAAATGGAAAAACTAAAACTAAATAGTTTTATTTTTCAATCTTCAAAAACTATTTAACAAAAACTATTTAACCTAAAAATCAGCATATAAGATTTTTACTTAATAGAGTAATGAAAAATAATACAATATAAATAGTCATCCTTGAAACTTTATATAACAATGGTTTGGCCAAAAACATAATTAACAATTGGATATGACCAATTATGATTTTTATATTACGTTCTTTGACAGTTTCCAAATAAATGCATAAATGTGATGCACATTACTATTACTTTTATTTTTTAAAAAGCAAAATTACGTAATACTTTAAAAGATGTGGGGTTTTGACTATTCATTAACTCGTACACCACATTGTAGATCTCAATTTTTCCTACCGTGCTCTCCTTTGCAGCTGCCCTTTCCTCTTGCTTTTCTTTTGCTTCTTCTATAACCAACAAAAGCACAACCAAACAGGATGAAAAAAGAAGTAAAAATCAAGAGGAAAAACAAAATGACCGGTATAAGCTAATGGGAATTAGGAAAGGCAAACCCTTATATAACAAACAAAAGAAAGAAAGAGAGTTCCAAACATTATTCAAAGATGAGCTCATAATTATCAAGGTGGGGTGGGCTACCTTCCTTGCTAGAGGGTTTTTAGAGCGGGGGAACGAGAAGTCAAAAACCTTCCTCCAAGATGGTATGTAGCTAATATCATCCCATCAAGCACCGACGTATCTTGCAAGAAAAAATCTCACACCATCATGGTGGAGAACCATCACAATTACATGTATAAATAACAGTAACAAACACAAACATAGGAGTTAGTTAGTCTAAGAGGAAAGGATTTTCGAAAAAAATTGACGACGACAAAAAAAAAGAAAAGAAAGAGAGACCGAATTTACTTGAACCGAAGCTGCAATCCATATCATCTTCAATCAATTCTACTAGGTAATTTCCTTAATTTTAGATTTTAATGTCAATTTAGGTTTTGTTTCAAAGTTTGGAGATTTTTTGAAATTGGGTTAGAGAATAGAAATTAAGACCAATTGAAAAAAAAATTTAAAGAATCGAAAAGTAAGGGTTCGACTCAAATTGGGTAAGAATTTTGAAAAATTGATTTAGGGATTTTTTATTAGAGAAGGAAGAAAATGGAGGGAAGAGAAAAGAAGCACCAATTCTGGTTCGTCCATGGTAGATTCGGGAGAAGTGAGAAAGCAAGAATAAAAAAAGAAGAGAGAGAGGATTTGACAAAGAGGAAGAAGAAGAAAAGGAAGAAAAAAGAGAAGAAGAGAGAGAAGGACGAACCATTGCTAGTTCATCCACGAGTAAGAGAGAGATTCAAGAGATTTGAAAGAAGAAAAAAAAGGAAAGAGAAAGAAAAACAACGAGAACGATTGGAAAATGAGGGAAAGAAAAGAAAAAGGGTTTTGATCCAAGATTTATTTTTAAAAGGAGTTGAGTTGTGTTTTTAGCCTTGGATTTACTAAAATGATGTGGGTTGGGCTTATTCCAACCCATTTATAATTGGGTAAAAAAAAAAGGGAAAAATTTTTAGAGCTAGACTGATCCGAACCTAAACCAAAAAAAAAAAAAATGTGCCTTAGTTTTAATTTTTAATTTTATGCATTTTTGTTATTTCATACTTAATTTAGATTTTAAATTGTCTTTAATTTTTTTTATTATAAAAAACTTTAAAAGATATAGGGATGAGACTCGTTCACTCTAAAAAAAAACACTATGACGGCCCAGTTCCTACAATAGTGTTTCCTTTAATTTTGCACCCCTCCTTTGCTTTTCTAATTACGGTGCTACCACTACTACTTTTACTCTCTTTTGCATTTTTTTTGTTTTTGCTATTTTTTCTCAAAAATCACTAGCCTAAAAAATAAAATCCCCTTCCATATTCTATAACAAAATCTCACACCATCAAACGGTGAGAAATCAACATAATCACATATAAGAGGTAGCAGACAGAAACACAATGAAAAAGGAATTAGTATGAATCAATTGAGTTCATAAAAAAAAAAACAACAACAACAAAAGATAAAGGAATTTTTACCTAATTGTTAAAGCGACGAAGACATTTCCATCATTATCCTCAACCCGAATTTCCCTATCCACACTCTCACACACATACATTTGTATTTATTTAATCGAATAAAGGGTTTCAATTTGGAAATTAAATTGGAAGTTTTAGGAATTTAGGGTTCTTGACGAGTTAGGGTTTCGAAATTTAGGGGTTTTGTTGTGGATTGAAATTGAGGTTGAATAATAGAAAGGAAGGCTCATGGAACTTAATTAGAGTTTTAATTCAAGGTTTAAACCCTAAATTGAACTTAAATTAGACTATATTGAAACCTAGGGTTTTTGAGATCTTCAACAAGTAATAAAAATTAGGAGTTTTTAAAAATAATGACTCATTTAGGTTTGAATTGACTTGTTCTCAAGAGAAATCAAAAACTTAAGGTTCGACCAAATTAAAAAAAAAATTCAATTTAGGATTTTGATCTATTTGGAAGAGAAAGATTAGTAGAGTGAGGGGAGAGAAGGATTGAGAGAGAAAGAAGGAGAGAACGAACTAGAAATCTCTAGTTCATTTCTTCCATGGATCGGGCGGAAGAAGAGAAAAAGAAAAAGATGAGGCTGAGAGAGGGGAATAAGAAGAAGAAAGATAAAAAAAAAGGGAGAGTGAGAGAAAGAGGGAAGAACAATTACTAGTTCGTCTATGAAAGACAGAAAGAAAGGAAGATGAAGAAGAAAGGAGAAGAAAAAGAGAGAGAGAGAGAGAGAGATCGAATGAGAAGAGGGAAAAAAGAAAAAAATGAGTTTGATTGCAAAAAGGAAAAGAAAGAGTTTTGTTTGTGTTTTTGGGTTAGGTTGTGTCACTAGGCTGGATCGATTCTAGTCCAATATGAACAAATGGGGAAAGAAAACAGTTGGATTCCGGTCCAACCCAACAAAGAAGAGGAAAAATAAAGTTGGGCTAGACCGATGCCAATCCAACCCAAAAAAAAAAAGCCTTAGTTTTATTTCATTTAATCTTGAATTAATTTTTTCTTCATTTTTATTTTATGTTTAATTGTTATTTCAATGTTTAATTTATTTAATTAATGTAATTATGGATTTTCATTTGTTTAATAATTAGATTAAGTAATTAATAGGTGAAAAATTATCAAGACTCTTTTTTTTAGGGATCGATAACGATTCTTTATCGATTAAAAAAAAGATAAAAATAATAAACAACAAAAGGCATATTAATTAATTTTAATCTTAGGATTTTGTTTTCATAATTAGTTTAGATAACCAAATGGTGGACGACTTATCATCTCTTAATTTTTAAGTATTGATGATGATCCTCCATCGATAAAAAAGAAAGTAACATTTCTAATGAAGTCTCTTATCCGATAGAGACCGTTGTTAACAAAAAATGAGAGTAGAAAAAATAATAATTTTTTTTTTAACAAAGTCTCTTATCCGATAGGGACTATTGTTAGTTTAATAAAAATATCTCATCAATATTCAAACAATTAGGATATTTTTTAATACACCGGTGTTGTCGAGGCATGAAGTGGATCCGATGTTTGACCCGACGTGTCATTCGACGAAGAGGACCGACGATAATTTCAATACGATGCCACATCCTAAAATAAAAAAAAATTAATTTAACTTGAAAATTGGAGTTCAATTTGAAAATAACTTGGCAAAAAATAAATAGCTTTAGGAGATGAATTTAAAACTAAACTAGACATGGTACCTTTAGGAAATGACGTTTTTAGGTGATCGATTTCTTCCCAAAACATAACCAACTCCTTATCCAATAATCTCTACACAAGTGGTTATTTTTAGGTTCATAGTTCTTTTAATACTAGGTGACGACTCCAAATTCAATAGGAACTCGCATCCTTAAAATAACTCATAAATAAAATGCTAAAATCTATATTTTTTTTGGAAGTCCCATGTCCGACGCCGAGTAACTTATAAATGCTTCTTTATGCTCCAATCGCTATCGCTTTTTTCATGCGAAATTAATTTATAACATGTAAACATTAAATTATCTCGTGTGTCTTTATTTTAACGTATAATCTAATATATCAAACCGAGTAACATTGAGAATTAAAAATTAACTAAACGTA